TCTTTTTATATAGGATCATCAAAACCCTCGCATCAAGCAAACGGAAAATTCAGTTGATTTGTCAACAGATCGGACATTGAAGCAGTCATTTTTATTGCTATATAAATCTGAATAATATGATTTATGAATAATAAGACTAATCAAAATTCCATGTGATTCACTGTTGAAATTGAAAAAAATTTTGACTTAAAAGATTTATTTCTCATAAGAAAATTGGTGACGAAAAATATTAAACATACTGCATCCACTGATTATTTTATTTTGCAAGAAAATTTGCACAACATGCGAGATAAACTGCTATTTATTGATTCATTGATCGTGAATAATTGAACGTACAAAACATTGTATTAAGTAATTTTTACTCTGCGTCTTCGTTTTTTATCCTCTCTCCTTTTCTTCTCAGCATTGGCCAGGTTGATGTATTTTTGCTTCTGATCGGATGACATCTTCGTCCACTTTTTCCCAGCAACACGTGCAATCAACGTCACTGGCTCCTTCGGATTTTTACTCCTCAGTCTCAGGAAAAATATGATGAATGGATTCGTTGTATTCGCTATTTTTCCATTCTTAACGACGTCATAACGGTGCACGTGATGTCCTGATGTCTTTGATGACGATTTGTCAGCATCTGTGCTGCGCAAGAATTTCAACGACTGAATTAGCAGACTTTCATACAACTATCATTCAGTTAATTATATTAATGTTCCTAACGATAATAATTAGCGTTTTCAATTTATTCGAGATTTGTCTTTACAACAGATCGGCGCTCGTTCAAACTACTTTATGGGAATAAATTCTTTGATATAATTATATAATAATTATATAATTATGTAGATGAATTTTACGGAAGCATTATTTTACTATTTTTTATGTAAAGTTTCTGTGATTATGATGTCAGTGCCTTTTTCTGCGTGAACTTTCGATTTAAATTGAATTTAATCAATACCAAACCTGGGGGATTTCTCATGTTCTACCATTCTCCAACCGTTTTTAAATCATTTCAATTTAATTAAAATAATTATCCAGAGAGTAACGAATACATGAAATAAAAATAATTGACGCTGAATTTACCTTTTGCAGAACTTCCCCTGACGCTCCTTTCGACAGTCATGATACGGATAATTTTTTCCTGGCACCGAGCCTCCGTTTCCCATGTTATAATTTCTTGTATTCACTCAGAGCTTATCACATTACTCCAGAATTTTCATCTCATTTCCACAAAAATGTCTAATCAACAGGAAAATACTTTCGAGGTTGGTTTCTATTGTAGAAGAGGAAATTAGTCGCCTGTTTTTTTAGATGTTGACTCTCATTTGTTGACGACCCTTCGAAAATCAAATTCTAACTTCAAGATATATTTCGAGTTACCATTCTCCGATTTTCAGTCATTAATTCAATAACGAAGCGATAGACTATGATAAAAACTCGGAATTGAAGGAACAGCCATTTAAGGATTTCACATGAAAAAAAGAAAACTCAACACAATATTTATATTTTCAACTATCAATGATTTTTTTTTACTTTTTTATTTGTTAGTAGTACTTAATTTTTTATGCATCGTTTTCTTTATAACTATGTACAATAAATATTGTTGTATTTTACACTATAAACCTTACAGACTTTCGATTTTTAGATCATCTGAAACTAATTAATATTTTATTATAATTAGTTCATTGTTATCTACGTCTAACTGCTCACTGCTCTCTTCGATTTAACGCACCCTTTGTCAATTTCACTCAATCGTCATAACGAAATTTACTTCCTGCCCGTACCATAAATAGATATATGCATATATATTTATATATATTATATCATTATTGTTTTATTCAGCCAACCAGTTCTTAAAAAAAATCAATTGTTCTTAAATAGTTTATTTATGAATATGTGAAAAAGAAACAATACTTCACAGTGCGAAAAGCTGAGAAAAATCTACAGTTATTTTAAATTTGTTAAACTATTCATACTTCCACAGAAATAGTCTTCAATCGATTCTCTTGTGAAAGTTATAATAAAAATATAGTGACAACTACAACATTTCAAAACAGCCCACTGTGAGTCATTTTTTATTTTCACATTGTTTATCATTCCAAATGTACAATTTGTCTCGTTATCAGTAGATAATCAGAAATGTCTCACTCTCAGATATTCTTTACATTTTATCTATCCCATTTTTCTGGGGATTTCCCGAATTAATCTGCCATTTATCTTTTTATACAGAAATTAAACTATGACATATTGAAGAATGTGCATCTTGTTATTAACGCCCGAAAATAATGAGGAATTACTCTTTACTTGTTGTTTCCTCGAGATTGTTTGAAGCTGAAGCTTAGGGTAAATGGAACGAAGAATAAGAACACGTCGACATAACGAAATCATGACCTCACGTATGGGAAAGATTTACTGAAAACCTAGTGCTTTCGTTAAAAAAAAATCTATTTCTTTTGCACTGATTTCTATTGATGATTATGCAACTCTATGATATTTCATAACAAAAAAAATTTGATAGAGTTTATAGATAGAAGTCTCGGCACAAATTATTCTCCATGGATTTTTCTTCTAGAACAATTTTTGGGCATATATATAAAGATCATAAAGCCGAAGAATTTGAACCTGAAAAATACTCCAGAGAATCGTTTATATGGAGTCCATCAAATAATTATAAAAAAGAAAAACAAATTACCAGAAGGTTAATAGAATTTTTGACAGGACGTGTTAGATTTTTTCACTGACATTTTTCATGTGCCCTTTGCCACTCCCAAATACATAATGCATAGAGAAAAATTGAAAGTACAGCGCCTCACCTCGAGAAACACAATTGCAGGATTAAGACTGAGTTTAAAAACTATAATACAATACCCATGTTAGAGGGATTATCTGCCCTTCTCAGATAATAATAGATTCAATAAACTCGTTACAACCGATAAAATTTTCACTATTCAGAAATTCAAAATAGTGAGTGGATAAAATTCTTCGAAATATCAATACTTTCGCACATGATAAAAACAGTTTAACCAATTAATTATTTATTCAATTGAAAGTTGAATGCCACGGGGTCACCTCAAGTTATTACAACTCATATCACGAGAAAATTCATCATATAGACAATTCATCACATCATTACTCATTATGTTCAGCTGACAAACTCGTAATTAGGCCTGTAACAACTAGAGGCTGTGCCAAAAATGAAGATGAACTCATTCCCATGAATCCATGAATTAATTATGCAATAATTACCTCAAAATCTAATGAAGATATTGTAATTCCTTTTGCATCTTTCCCTCCATCCTCCAAAACGTTCTTTGAAAACTATCATTATCTCCATTAGGTGTTGAGATATCATGGAGAACCCCAGACTCCCTTTATCTGGGCCTCATGGTGCTATTCAACGGTTGCATGAGTCCACCATTGATATACCCGTGATAAGTTGTGTAAACAGCAGCAGGATTTTGCTGATGGGGATCCTGGGAATAGGCACCAGGTACATTAACAACCCCGACAGGTAGTTGTCCCTGATTCATGAACCCCCCAATTTGTGCAGCCTGATTCATGTATCCACTACTCCCCTGTGCCACCCTATACCCATATCCAGCAGCAGCCATGAGATTAGTATTGAGAGCAACATTGGGAGAGACCCTGGATCCCCCCTGCATCTGTGGACAGCTGCCACTGGGATCCAGACTGCCCAGAGGACTCTGTCTGTATAGGCTTTCAGATGCATAATTCTGGAGAGACATATTGGCATTCGCTGAGGATCTGGAGGTCGACCTCGCAGGCCCTCCTCCGGGTGGTGGCACCGAATTAACGTTATAATAATTCTTTGGATACCCCAAAGGCACCTGAGGGGGCGTGGAAAGCTGTCTAGAGTTCTGTGGTGGTGTCATTGTGTGGGGAATGGGTGGAGGTGGTGTCAAGTTCATGGCTGGAGGTGTTGGAGGTATCATCTCAAGGCCATTCGTCAATTGCTGAAGTTTAGCTAGGCTGCAGCTATTGGGGGTGCCCTGGTGGTTGCTCTGGGTGTGGCTGTGTGGCACTGATGTTTGAATATAAAAATTAGTGGCTGTTGAGGGAGTTGTGGGAACACTTCTTCCACTTCTGTGCTGGATTACGTAAGTATTCTGGGTGGGGAAGGCCTGGGAGACGGTTGCCATATAATTCCCTTGAGAGATCACCATATTGTGAGAATGATGAGGCATGGGCTGCTGGTACTGATGAGGGACAGAGTGATTTAGGGTTTGTGGATGTGAGGGAGCTGGAGGTGTTGATCTGTGGGATCGATTCTGTTGGGTCCTTGATCTGGCTTGAGATGATTGACGTTTTGAAGTGTTGGAGGGATTAGGAGAGACCTGAGAGTGATGATGGATATTCTGGGGGGCCATCAAACCCTGAGGATGTAGCTGGGGTTGAGGTTGGGGTTGGGGTTGGGGTGTGTGAGATTGGATAGGTTGAGGAGTGTGGGACTGAAGAGGTTGAGGTGTATGGGATTGGATGGGCTGTGGTGTATGAGATTGAATGGGCTGGGGTGTTTGAGGCTGTGGTTGAGGTGTGTGAGGTTGCTGTATTGGTTGTGGTGACTGAGTTGGGAGACTCTGGGGTGTTCTCGGCTGCTGTTGAGGCTGATGCATCTGGTGAAGACCCACATGACTCATCGAGCAATCATACTGCACCTGTGGCATGATCGAGGAAACTTGGTGTGGATTTGGGGGAATTGACACACCAAGAGCACTTGGAAGGGCACTGGGGGGTCTTTCCACGCTGTGTTGAGATGCTAAATCACTTGCTATTGACGTAGGAGACTCCAGCCCCAGCTGGGAAACATCCAAGTCGCACTGGCCATAATGTAGGGAATGCACGGAATTCGTCGTGCTGTCTGGTGTGTAGACTCCCATCGAAGGCAGATCTGGCTGGCTTGGAGGCGTTCTCTTTATCGAGTTCTCCAAGTGAGGAGTTGTTTTTCCACTCTCTGGAGAATTCTGCTTCTCGTCTGGTTGAGGTTGTGATGGAATTTGATGAGTTTCTGGGATTTGTTGGGGTTCTCCAGGTGATTCGATTGCTGGGGATTTCAGAGGGGATTTCGAGCACTCTGTTGACTCTTTTGGGGGATCCACCTCCATTTTGGATTCCTCGGGGATTACTGCAGTTTGTGGAGGCTCGTCAGGCTTTTCTTGGATCTTTACGGAATCTCCTAGTGGAAGAACTTGAGCGGATGGAGTCTCTGGAACTTCTGGAGCTTTGGGAGTCTCTTCAACGGATTTTAGAGGTTCTTTTACAGGTTCTTCAGCTATTTCAGTAATCTCTGGCTTTTGTTCAGGGCTTGACTCGGCAACACGATCATTCACCTGGACTTTTTCTTTCTCTGGAACATTTTCTTCCTTTTGCGCTTTTTCGGATGCAGGTTCAGGTTCAAGTGCGGGTTCAGGTTCATGCTCAGGTTTAGGTTCGGATTCGGGTTCGGGCTCAACTGGAGCCTGTGGTTGTAGTTGTGGTTGTAATTGTGGCTGTAATTGTGGCTGTAATTGTGGTTGTAATTGTGGTTGCGATTTTGATTGTGATTCTGCTTCTAACTCTGGCATATCTTCAGGTTCAAGTTCTGGTTTCTCCGGCAAAATTTCTTCGGTTTCCTTCTCCACTTGTTCCACAGCTTCTTCAACTTCTTCTTCCTCCTCCCCTTCGTCTTCATCACCGCCCTCGTATTCTCCAGAACTCGCTGTTACCACTTCCTCAACGAAATCCTTCTTCTTATCTTCTCTTGTCTCCTTGGCAAACATCTCTGTTATCGTCAGCTGTTTACTCATTATTTTGCTCGATTTAACTTCAGTTCTCGGTGGGGAGCGTTTTATTTTCTCCACTTTCGAAACCCTCTTCCTCTGCTCTTCCTTGGCTCCATCCTCTTTATTTTCTCCGTTGTACTCTGCCTCTTTCGAGAGTTTCGACTGAAGTACTTTATTTCGTCTGTTGGTGACTTTCATTAGGATATCATCAAGTTTACTCTTCTTTACGGTTTTCTCCACCTCCTTAGAAATCTCCGGACTCTTGGCTTTCTTCTCTCTCAGGCTCTCTCTCGTCCTCTTCCTTTTGCTCTCTTCATCCTTCTTATCGTCATCATCCTCAGTCTTGGAATGCTTTCGTTTCCTGGAGGGAGTCGTCAATAAGCCATCACTGGGTCTTATCCTTCTTGAAGATCCTGTTTTTCTCAGAGATACTGTCTTCTGACTCCTAGGATTTCTCGGTGTGGCGTTCCCCTCATCAACGACTCCATTCCCATTCTCCTTCTCCTCCTTCTGCTTTGGAGTTCTCTTCAGCCTGCGAGAACCAATTCTTTTGCCCCTGGGTCTTTTCTTAATCTTCACACGCTGAATCTTCTCGACGATAGGTACTGGCTTGGGATCAAGCATTGGTGAATTTTCAGGTGTTGATTCGTTGTCGTCTGGGGAGTAAGGATTAGGTATCGAGACGAGGGGAATCCATCGGAGACAGTCAGGGTCTAGGGCTATTCGAGAGGATTTCTTTACTCGAGACATGTGGCTGTCGACCTTGGACCAGTCGACGACAACGCATACCTCGTTATTCACCAGGTGAACGAAGGAAAGGAGCTCCAAAGCTGTGGTGAGGTCGTGGGCTGAAACACCAGTTTCTCTGGTGATGTCCCCTAGGTTCAGGGCCTTGGGATTTCTGTGGGACGCAAGGTACTCCAAAACAACGCTTTTCCAGAAAGAGTGGTACGACACTCGACCCAGATCTGATAAAGGCTTCTCCGGGGTACCAGGAATCCCCTCGACTTTTGATAATAAGTAGCTGAATTCTATGAGAAAACGACCAAAACCCTGACGCTGGTACTGGGGAAGTGTCATGATGCAGGAGACGTTGTAGCGCTGGGAGGGACAGTGCTTCTCTTTGGAGAAATAACCCACCAAGTGACACCCTTGCTTATCATTAATCGTTACTGCGTAGAAGAGGAAGGGCTCCACGTCGTAGTAGAGGGTTTTGTGGTCCAGGAAGAGCTTCGCCAGGAGGCAGAGGTTCTGGCAGTAGATCTTATTTACGTTGCCATCGATCTGGAAGAATTTTTACAATTTTTGTAATTGCCTTTCAGGATTTCATTCCATATTTAACAGTGTGAATGTATTTAGAACTTGTAAAAAAGTAAGAAAAGCGGTGCCAACTAATCATTCACATACAAAACATTTGAAATATTATGCATGTTAATAACAAATTCCAATTCTAATAAAACATCTCAAATAGTCAGAGATGCAGGAAGAAAAGAAAATCATACAAGTGCTCCCGGTCAATTTGTTTGAGATAAATAATATGCAGTTGAATTGAGAAATTTATAATTGAAAATGTCTGAATGTACAGTCCCTACGAAACTGTAGAAAGTGCTTGGATACCCTTGAATTAAATTGAAATTCATGACATTGAGAAAAGAGAAGCAGCTGTTCATGATGAAAAAAAAAATTCAACAGTAAAGTGCCCTCACCTCGAATACTGATAACCCATTACACCTGTAGATTTCAGTGGCAGGTGGATGCCTCCATTGGCATTTGTCCATGTGTCTATCCAGCACAGCTCGACTCTTGGTGTACTTCAAACAAAATTCACAGAAGAACAACTTGGGTAATCTCGCGTATTCCTGAGGGAATGGGCTCGAATACCACGTCTCTACTTCATATTTTCCGAATACAATAGCAGCTGGATTTCTCGAAGCTGTGATAATTCCACCTCCTGGACTCGTCGTCTTCTCGAAATCGTCCAGCTCCACTGTCAAACGGTTCGCTTGCTCTCTGGCTTCTTTGAAGAGGTCCAGATCCTTCTGGGTCACACCTGGTGGCAACGTGTGAGGCACAACTGATTCGTCTGAAAAACAAAGATAAACACACTTTTAATTATTGTTAAGAGCCACAAGTGTTCGAATTTCGGTATTGCTTCATCTTCTTCTCGCTCAATATGTCGAAAGTGCACTTGTATTATGAGACGAAAGTTCTCAATGATGAGACAAAATTCCATTCAACGGTTTCATATTAAGCTGATTAATTCGTTTAGGTGATTAGCAATTATTCAACTCATTCGCGGGACGATATTCGAGGGTGACAGAGAGCTTGTTAATTATTAATATTGATTTGGAATTGTTAAAGGAATCCGGATATTGCTTTAAATTTTTGAAAATAAATTCAATGTTTCAAATGGCGGATGAATGAAAAAAAACGATAGAAGGGCCTATAGAGTTTTAGTTATTATTATTATCCCCCAAATTATTTTTATAGAAGCAAAAATGCTGTTAGAAAACTCGGAAAATTTGTAGATAGAATTTCTATAGATACTTCCATAGAAGAAATTATAAATAGAAACATAAAAATTTTGAAACTTTGAAATCCAAAATATTGTAGGAGATATTTCTATTTCAGAAGGAAACATGCAGAAAAGCTGCAGAAAAAATTAAAATTGGGAATAGAAATTCCGTGGGTATTCACCGGGATTTTTTAGCGAATGCGTTAAGTTTGTCTAGAAAATTTTATCGTGCGACTAATTATCCGATTTGATAACTGATTCTAGTAATTCCAGTATTCAAAATGAATTTTATAAATGGAAAACGATAACCAGGACCCAATACAAGAAGCAAAGCTGGGTAAGGATGTAATCTGGGGAGAGGAATTTTCAGACACGAAAATGAAGAAAAATTCTTCTGCTCATTTGGAAAAAAAAAAGGAAACGATTTGAATAGAAAGAGTTGGAAATTTAGAATTCTCTGGTACTCTGTAATTTTCGAAATCATGTTGACTTTTTTTTCACTTTGAAAAGAATTTCAAAAATAATCAAAATGTGATTTTTGTCATGAATGAGGATGAAGGGATGCAGCAGGAATGGGACTCAGCCACACGCACACATTTCCTTGAATCATCATTTTCCCTTCATCAATAACCGCACACCACACCGCCAACACATCCACGGTGTTTTTTCACATATTAATTGGTCATTAATACAAATTACTCCAACAAGACTTAAAAACTCATAGAAAATAAATAAATTCAGTAGTGAAGTGGTAAAGGGTAAAATCAACCTATTCCACAGTTGACTTTCCAACAAATATCTCTGAGTTTAAGAGGTAGCCTCTAAGCAATTGGTTCTTGAATTAGAATGAGTATTACAAAAAGTGCAGGTAATCCTTTAATCATACACAGCCGGAATTTAACCGGGAAATATTTTCTAATGGTTGGAAAATTCGATTGAACTTAGAGTGAAAATTCTATTAAATGATTCTTTTCGTCAATTCAAATAAGAATGCCCAAACGGTTTTTTAACACAAAAATATTTGCATTAAAATATTTTGTACAGGAATTTCTTGACGTACATCTTCCAAGTTCTTAATTCTTCTTATTTGTTTTCGTTCTTAATTGATATAACCATGTAAAAGACTCGGGAAATTCTCAAACGAATCAGCAGAAAACTAATAGAATTTTCGATAAAAGTCCAATAGGATTTTCTGACGAATGTTAGAATGTTTCAAATGAAATGTTTTCGTCCGTGTTTCTCCTCTTTCCAGAGATATTCGTCAAAAATCCAGCCAGGAGCCACTTGGCCACTGAACATGTTAAAAACGGTCATTAAAACCGAAAATAGCTTGACAGAACGTCAAAATTATATAAAATTTCAAATATCTTTAACTTATAAACGAGAAAATCTCGTAGTAAATTTTCCTCAGGAAAAAATAATCAACAAAAATGAGAAAACGAATAAATAGCAAAGTGGTAAAGGCTAACAAGTCGACAAATCCCAGTTCCTGTTCGACAAATATCTCCGGATTTAAAGAGCCAGCGAATAATCTCTGAGAAGGACTGAAAGGAAAACAAGAGCTATAAAAATTCCCCAGGTTCCCTTAGATCCAGAAATATTCACCAAATCGACTCATCATCCTTCACCCCTTCGCCACTGAAATACTCAATTAATTGTTTTTTCATTCAGGAAAAAAAATAATACTGGGATATTTCCTGTCATAATTTTTCTCTATTTTTCTTCGGGTCGGGGTAGACTCTTACCCTTCCTGATGGAGCGGGGTGTCGTGGTGGTGTTGGTGGTGGTTGCGCTATTACAGGCACGTGGTTGTGGGATTTTTTGGCCAGGATTTGATTCGGACTCATGATTATGACAATGGTGATTACTTGGGATCGCTGGCACAGGGTAGCCCTCCCCAATTTTCCTCCTCCCCTCCTTGACATCATCAGCACACTTAACGTCACTATCATTTCTCCTTTTACTCTCATGCCTCTTGGAATTCACAGCTGTTTTAAACAGATTGCTCGGTGTCATTTTATCACTTTCACCAAAATTCTCTTCCTCATCATCCTCATCTTTATCCCGTTTAACATCTTTATATTCTCCTTTGCCCTCGGCCTCCCTCTTCCTCGTCTTCTCCGAGCTCTCGTCAACTTTGTCATTGCCCTTTTTTCGCCTGTCAGGCGCATAGTTGGAGGCTCTAGCACGACAGCTAGTACCAGCAGAGAAGAAATGGCTCAGTCCATCGAACAGACCCTTGAGCTGTCCTGATCCTGGTTTCACTTTATCGGGATCGCATTTTTTCTTGTCTGAAGGTGATGCCGCTGGTTGAATGTGCAGGCCAAAGGTCGGTTTGGCCCCTGCATCGAGCTTCGGTAGAGATCCGAAAGTGTTGATGGTACTGAAGAATGGTGCATCGACCTTGAGTTTGGCAGCAGCAGCTGCAAATCCCCAGGGTGACTCCTCGGTTTTCTTAGTCCTTAGGGTTTTGCATTTGTCATCGGCCCTCGAGTCTTGATCGTCTGACCAGCCAGAGGAACTGCTCGACGAGAAATCAGACGACGACGACGAGTTTTCACTCGTTGATGATGAATTTCTACTACTAGTGCTACTACTACTACTACTACTACTATTACTACTACTACTACTAGTCGTGTATTTACGCGCTGGTGTTTTACATTTGTTCCCAGTGACTACCCTAGGCTTATCGTCTTGTTTATCGGGTAGTGAACGTTTTTGTTTAGTGTGAGTGGCATTGAATGCTGATGAGCGGAAGAATTTTTGCTTCTCCTTCGAGATGCGGTCACTCTTTTCCTCCAGATGTCTACCCTGGCCTGCGTGGGGAGTTGGTTGGGATTGGGAATTGGTTGGTGGTTGACGGGGGAAGACAACACCCGCATTACCGTCCGTGCTGCTGTCCACCTGTGATACTCCACGCTCCACTGGTAGCTCTGGTGTCAGGGAGAGCTTCTTTGGAGTCAGGGGAATACTCTTGTGCGATGCTGCTGATCTGTGGCAAAAAAATTCACTGTTGTTTTTTTTTCTTCTCCCATTATATTTATCTTATTTTTATTTTTTTATTCTTGGAATCCTTACTCCTCTCACCTGTCCACCAATAGGTTTTGACAGTTTGAATTATGATTCGTTTAACTTTAACTCCAGTCTCACCTTTATTTTCAGTTCTCCTAATTCGAGGATCATGCAACATTTTTCTATATCTCAATAACTGTTTTTCCAATCAATGAATTTTAGTTCAGTGTTTCTTTTTCTGTCTCTGTTTCTACCTTTACAATTACTTAAAAGATTATTGGAAGTTTCGAAAGAATCCCATAAACATCCCCATTTCGACGGTAATCAAGTATTTGAACTGGAATGTTTCATTCATTAGATGTGGAAAGATCATGAAATATCTGACTTATAAAAAAGACACAGGTGCACAGTTTTTTTAAACCAAATTGAATTATTAATGTATTAAAAAACAGTTGAAAAATGCAGACGATTAGAGAATTTTAATTCATATAATCCTGATGCAATTTTTTTTTACGAAAAAGACCTGAAATAAAATCTGTCACCGATCTATTTTGCCTAGATTACGATCATAATATGACATTATATACATGTTATGTATATACAAAATATATATAAATTAAAAAATATAAAATATTGTATTACATGCATGAAATCTTGCACAAGTCTTTTTTGTCTGCTTATTATTCGGAAACGTCAAGAATATGTACAATAAATGTGATAAGTCCAACAGCTCTATCTTGTTTTATTTATATTTATAACTATAATAGATTCTTCAAACTTTAAATCGAAACATCAAGCGTAAGCGCGCGTACCATGCGAAAAGCCGTACAATCAGGATTTAAAAACAATTTTATAGTCGACTATTTCACAGGCTTCCATGAAATGATTAAATGATTTCGTTCCTCTAAGAAAATACGCTACGTAAATTTTCATTTAATTTGTCGCTTCAAGAGCGAATAATGTGAACGTTTGCAGTTAGTTAGAAAATTTGAAAGCTGAGAATAAGCCAAAGCCGCTGGAGCCTGGAGCTGCTTTAAATTTGAAAAGTATTCTGAATGGACTTACTTTCGATTTTCTCGAATTTTGTTAAGACGTCTTCTCGCACTAGTGGGCGAGCTTTCATCCTGGGAGCTTGAGTCTAACTGCTTAGTGCCACGTTTTCCATCCTCTCTACTATGAGACGTTTGACAGTGTCGACATCGCCACGGGGTTTTGCTCTTTTTATCCAGCACCGGATCCAGACACGTGGGATGAAAGCACTTCGGGCATCCCGAGCATTTTACCAAATAATTCTGGGATTCACGCTCGAGTTTACACCCGGAACATACAGCTACGCAGTCGTCGCAGCACCAAGTTGCACCTCTCTCAACAAGAATTGCTAGTTCTGTTGGTGCACATGTGTGATGAAGTGCTGCACCACAGACACTACATCTTGACAGCTTCTCAGCTACGGGTTTTTTCGTGTTATTGTTGTTGGCTGCTGCTGTTGTGCCAAGGCATTCGCGACAGATTGGCAGAGGTGCGGGAAGCTGCAAGAAACGAGGTAAGTTTAAACAAGTGCAGAATTGCTCTTTCATTAGATCGTCCTCGTGTGCTCCGCACGCACATTTATTGAGAATGTTTGAGGTTTAGCGACGACATAGTGGCTAGTCGGTTTCATCTTACGGGTCTTACCCTTACGGTCATTTGATATTTTTGGAGAATTTCGAGATCGATTTCCTTTCGCTTTTTTATACAAGGAAAGAAAACAAATTGGAAATTAAATCAGTCTTTCCATATTCTCCATATTTTAAAATCTAATTTGATTCCCAAATCTTTGCGATTTTTTGAATTATCGAAATATTTTCGCTTACCCCCGCCCCTCAATAAATTTGTCCAATGACTTGCAGCCTCGATTAGTTTCCGCGATGAGTCTCAAATTTTCGCCATTTTTATAATATTCAAAATTTTGCTACGCCGTCGTAGTTGCGGATCGGTTTAAAATGGTCGATAAAAACAATAAATCCTTCACTTACTTTACTCGAGGCCGAATCAGTACAACTCGTCACATTATTCACCGCAGCCTCCACTTTTTTGGTGGGGGGTCTATCAGGTTGCCTGAACAGTCTGCCATCCTGGATGACCAGTCCCCTGTCAACTGCCCTTTTAGCTGAGACCCTGAGGGCAGTTCTAAGATCTCCCTCAGAGCTCTCTTCAACAGTATGACTCTGTCGAACATATTTTTCAATATTCTTGAGAGTAGAGCCATCTCTCTCTCCCAATTCTCTCACAGCTTTCCCAAGAACTTTACTCAAATCCGTTGTCTTATTGACTTTCAAGGGTTTAGACTGCAAACCTCCTGGATCTTTGTATGAGGATTGGCCTTTGTTGAATATCTTGAGGACATCACCACGTTTCACTGCCTTCTCGAGATGCTCACCGATTTCCTCCTCATGGTAATTGTGATGCTGTCGGATAGCATGACAAATCCGCTCGACACTAGGTCGTTGTTTCTGACTGCGAATTTTTCTAATTGCATCCAGAAACCACTGCGACCACGTGTCAGCGGAGGCACTCTCCCCCATCTTTCTTCACGATTCTTTATTTTTATTTTTTGTCAAAGATCACTTCTGCTGGGAATTATTCTCACTGTTAGAAATATTCGACTTTGTGGGATTTGCAGGGAAATATTTTTTTGGGACCCTCTTAGTTTTTTGAGGGCTCACCTGGCTGAAATTCACATTATGTACGGCTTTTACTCACATCCCTTCCATTATTTTTGACACAGCCCTCGATCTGTAACAGAAATATTAACAATTTTGTTATTAAAGACGGAGTTTGCTCCAAGATCATACCGATCATTCTCACAATACAATTGTTAATCTAAAAACTGACCCCAATAATGTGGATAATGTGAACATGTTTTTATTTACATTAATGTAATATACTGTTGAGAAATTACACTTGAAATTTCAAGTTAAAAAACGTGACACTTTCAACAAATACAAAGTGATAGAAATTTCCGTTTAATTCTTCTATGAAGAATCAGCTAATTTGCTCGAATATTTACCTCCGGCCTTCTTATATTATTATTTATAAAGACGTCTTCCCAATTTTTTTATAACCCAAAAAAAAATATTTTAATGGAGAAGAATTAAGAAAACTTTTATTTGATTTTATTCAATTTTCTGAAGGATCGGACACATTAATTATTTTGTGGATTTAATAATAATAGCTTTTCGAATGATATGAGATATAATAACGAATAGCCTAAAGGAAAATTCCCAATATCGATGTAATTATTAATTTATAAAGTGTTATTATTCTCTTCTTCCCATGAAGATTGGGCAAGGGCCACTTTTCAAGTTATTTAATTCCAAAATATGGCAAGATAGTAATTATTTCGGATTGTCGCAGCGCGTATTAGATTAAATTCGTGTTTTCTATGGGGTTAATCGAACCTACCACTTACACAATCGCAATCTCACGAATTACTACCGAGCTATGACGTCATTCTTACGTATCGGTGATGATTCCCTTCGTTTACATGAATACTAATACGTTTTTGCCATGAGTCACATACTTGTTTGGCATAATCTAACTCTCGACCTCATCTTTTATAAAAGTGAAAAATAAAATCTGCAGCAAAGTGGCAAACGGTAATGAATGTAATTGATTTTGTAAATAATTATTAGCTAATATCTCGGGATTGAGGGAAGCTAGGAGTATTTTTGTGGAATACATTTTGATGGAGAAAGATGAGAGCTACAAAAAAGATATTCATGACTGTATCAAAATCTTATGTCAATTCCAAGATATTTGTTAATAACTGGGAAAACTGCACATCGAAAGTTGCATGTTATGCAAGTCTATCAAAAATTTAGGGAGATTAAGGTACGATTACGAACATTTGTGAACGATTGAATAGAGATAAAGTCCAAAAAAGGGATATTTTTGCACGTCAATCTGATCCACGGTTTCAGATAAATTAACAAAAAATATGAAAAAGGAGATAATATCAGGAATAACTCCTTAATAGTGTAATTTGAGATTAGGATTAATTTGAATGCTGTTCATGTTTCAATTGGATGAGGTTTGTTTAGTAGCGGATGAACTCGAGCAAATTCACCCTGAAAAAGGCAGCTGGTGGTGTTATGCATGAGTGCCGCCGCCCGTCCGGTCGCCGTCGGGAGGGAAAATCACTTTCATATCCTCCAATAAGACTCAGACTAATTATAAAAAAAACCGTTGAAGGTATCCAAGTACTTCAGAACATACACCAGAGGTAATGGAACTTACCATCGAAGTAAGAACCTCGACTGCAAGTTTTTTCCTCGGCAACCGATTATTTTCCAAAATCCAAATTCTTACACTATATACAAAAAATCTAAACGATTTAAGAATTGATATTGCTAAATAATTGACTGATAACGCTAATACGATAAATTGAATCTTAAATTGAGGTCTGTAATTAAGTGGAAAGGATGTCAATTAACACAGACCTGCGGTGAATTTTTTCGGAATAACTCCGAAACCAATGAAAATAGCGAAATTTTTATGTCCACCATTTTTGTAGCTCTCAGTGAGTTACTTAAAAAAGGTACCATCGTAAATTTTGTTATCTCTATTTTTAGGGTAGATATTTACGAAAAACGCAGTGAAGAGGTATTTCTCGCTTTACAACTTTGTTAAATAAATTCCTTTTTAAATCTTCAGGCGAACCGCGAAGTTGTATGGAAATTCTATTCGAGTTTAGAAATGCAGTGCAAAGAAATAATTCGTCACATGACGGTTAATTGATTGGAAAAAGAGTCGATCGACAATAACTGTCCATTTGGGCGGTGACCAATAAATTATGATTAATATAAACTACTGTGAATTAACATACTGAAAACAAATTATTTCTTCCGAATATTCATCAAGTCCCTTCCAGAAATCCCTCATTCAGTATTAATGATTACTATTATATTACTCCAAACAATCGCCATGCTAATTATGCTCTCGAATGTATTTTATCAATTATCATTAACATTGAAGAGTTAATAAAAATTCTTTTTTCAAGGAGCTACAAAATCTGGAAACTCACCCTCTGCAGCAGAATAATTGTCATAATCAAATACGATTTTTTAAATAGAAATAAAATTCTCAAATGAATGGCCACGTGATAGAAATAATTTTTTCCTCGATGTCTATATATGCTCTCATTTAGATTATTCTTCAATAAATCCCCATCGATTTTTTTTCTCATTTTTTGCCCGAATGTAAATACATAATATGTAGTTGAGAAATACCAAATCACATGCGCTATTATTATGTCTCTTGATCAGATGTGCCTCCTTTTTTTCGGATTATCAAGGAAATCGAATTAAAACTATTAGGACCATCAATAGAACTCCTGTAAAAATTCTGTATTCTATATTTTCTAATCCTATTGAAAATTTTCATTAAAATAGTCTGCGCGTTTCTGTAACTAGAAATATTGAACAGAAAATATAGAATACAAAAATAAAAACAAGAGTACTTCGTTTTTCTACACAATTTTCTCAAGTGATATATTTATTATTAATATATTTTCTATGGTAATTCCGCCGTCCTATTTATTTCCAACAGATTTTCGCAGCATTTCCCCTCTTTTGGGAGGAATAAAGTCAATTTAATGAATTTTTTAAATTCTAGAGGAGCAGATACCTACAGAAGATATTCTAACAAAATAAATTTTATAGAATCATGATAAATTATCGGATTTTTTAATAAAATAGTCTCTATTGGAAATTGGTAGTGGGTAAGCTGCAGCGAAAATGAGGAAAATTTCAGATGAAATCCATGCAAAACCACTAGAATCGCGAGTACAAGCCCTGACAAAGTCTATAGAATATACCACCCAATTAACTCTATTGATACATTCCATACAATATAGTAATTCCTCCGTCTTATTAATTTCCCACAAGTTTCCGCATAATTGTTCCCGTTCTCTCATGACAAAATTCAATATAAAAAATTCATAAAATTCTTGGGTTGCAAATTCTTACAGAAGATATTGCCCAAAATAAATTTGATAGAATCATGAAAAATTATTGGATTTTAAAATAGAAAATACTCTCTTTTGAAAATTCGTAGTAATAAAAATGCAGTGAAAATGAGTAGAATTTTCAATCAAATCGGTAGAAAACGGCTATAATTACGAGTATAAGTCCTGTATAAAGTCTATAGAATGTCCGGAGAGAATGGGATAGGTCTTTGTATAAAAATTTTTCATACGTGTAGTGTCAATGAATAACTCCGTGCCGACGGCCATCTTGAGGCCACAATTCTTTATATCCCTGTTGTGTATGCACTCCACCGCACGTTTTTTGCGCGCCCAACTGTTTTTCCCTCAAAAAAAAAAAACCTCACCCAAACTTGTCCATCTGCTCGATGATTAATCTCCATCGAGCTGCATATTACTCCAGAATAATTCCCCCGTTTATATGCAATGAGAATAATTCAGGGCAAAACACGTTGTAAAAAAAAGTCCGTGAGCGAATCTTTTCCGTCAAACGAAACGCAATTTCCACAGGGGTAGAGAATGTTTACTCTAGGAGAAACTTATTTCTGGTCATTTTTACTGGGGAAAGGTGCTAATAGATATTGATATTGATATTGTTACCTTTCAAGCCGTCATGTGTAATCCAACCGTTTTTTTTCGTCGTGTTGTTGGGCAAGACAGCGCGGACACAATCACTTGCACAGATGTTCTTACACTTTTAGTTTTATCACTTGGATTCACTTGATTTTTCACTGTTGTAGGGCCAGTCGGGGCTTTTCCAGGGGATATTTTGAAGGTACATTTAATATTTTATGGGTAGGAGGTAGTTTTTACCCCGACACACACAAGCGTCGCATTTCATTGGAGCGACTGGGATTAGACGGTTTGCAGACGGACGTGGCTGCATTTTTTTTTCTATTAGTTATTTGAAACAACATCCACAGATGGAGCTTCATATGGCGCCAGAAAATTTGGCGGGAACTGATGAAATTCGATACGAATAAGATTTTATCTTCCAAGTTGAATTATCGTATTTGCTAAATCAAAAATTGAGCAGTTTTTTAACAATTTACTCAGTGATGCTATTTTTACAATTTTACATCCGTTTAAAAATATAAATTTATTTAAACTCAACTGGGTCTTGCCAAATTGTGTTTTCATGACTTTTAAAAATTACTTCTAATAAATGTAAGTAAGTGAAGTAGTAAATTAGGACACATGCTCTTTCTTTCTCGGTAAATTTCGAGTGATTGCCTTAAATGTTAGCGATATATTTCGGTGGAAATTTTTTTCTAGAGAAAGTTGAGAGCTACAAGAGAGGTATCTATTGAAATATCACTACCGCTCTTTAGTTTCTAGATATTTTTTGAAAACAGTTGACGAAAAAAACTAGACATTTTCTAATTAACAATTTCTGAAGATTTTCTATATTTTGTAATGATGCAAATGGACTCAGTCCAACTCACTCATGAAAACTTGCTGAATGTTCTCCAATCCTCCAGCCTGATTGGCTCCACCATTTTCCCCGACGAATTCAGCGGGGTTCAGTGGTACTCAAAGAGGATTGACTACAGTAGAGGTTCAGTTCTGGGGGTTGGAGTAACCCCAGCAGCATCATAGTACTGGACCCCAAGAAGGGAGGGCGCCACACGCGATGGGGGTGTCTGCCCGTCAGCCTCGGTAACTACCTCAATAGATCCCTCTGTCAGAGGGATCAGTCGACAGGGTGAGTGTTATTTTCTGCATTACGAAATTGGTATTCACTGAAATTTTGAATTTGGTAATTTCAGTGAATACCTCTTCGATTTTCATGTTCTCCTGATACTTTTTCGTTAAGGGTTAATTGGATTTGGTTTAGGGCCACATGGGGGCAAAAAATTTAAGTGACTCCATAAAATTTTAAAATTTCAGTGAACGCAGAAAATTACACTCACCCTATCGACTGGTCCCTCTGACAGCGAGACTGCTACTGAGGCGGTTACCGAGTCGGCTGACGGGTAGACCCCCCACCATCGGGTGCAGCCCCCTCTTTCTCTTGGGGTGAGGTACTACAATGGTGGGGTCACTCACACCCCCACTGAGTGGCTCAGTTCTGGGGGGAGTACCTCACCCCAAGAGAAAGAGGGGGCCGCACCCAATGGTGGGGGGTCTGCCCGTCAGCCGACTCGGTAACTGCCTCAGGCCCTCAGTAGCAGTCCCGCTGTCAGAGGGACCGATCGACTGGGTGAATTTTATTTTCTGAAAATTTTTAATTTTTCAATTTCAGTGAATACCTCATCGATTTTCATGCTCCCCTGATACTTTTTTGAAAATTTTTCATTTTTCAATTTTAGTGAATACTTCCTCAATCATCATGCTCTCCTGATACTTTTTCAAAAATTTCGAATTTTCAAATTTCAGTGAATACCTCCTCGATTTTCATGCTCCACTGATACTTTTTTGAAAATTTCAAATTTTTCAAATTTCAGTAAAAAGCTCCTCGACTTTCATGCTCTCCTGATACTTTTGCAAAAATTTCGAATTTTCAAATTTCAGTGAATACCTCCTCGATTTTCATGCTCCACTGATACTTTTTTGAAAATTTCGAATTTCGAACTCACCCTATCGACTGGTCCCTCTGACACCGGGACTGCTATTGACGCAGTTACCCAGTCGGCTAACGTGACATCCTCATTGCGTGTGTCGCCCTCCCTCTCTTGGGGTGCAATACTACGATGCCGCTAGGGTCACTCAAACCCCCAGAACTGAGCCTCTACTTCAGTCAATCCTCTTTGGTGGTACTGCTGACCTAGTTACTTTCCTGGCCCTCTCGCAGACGGCGTCTGTAACTCTGCAGTTTTCGTCAATGAAACCATCTTGTTACTGCAGTCATTCCGGCATTTTCGCCGCCGCCATTTACACATTGCTGTAGCGTGGTTGCGAATCCTATAAATTCCGAATCAACCATCATTATCAAATCACCTGAGTCTCCAGGATTTAATACAGTGTGGAAAATTCCCGATTCGGTAAGTACCTCAAACATTTTTATCTTTTTTCCCTCAATATTTCTGTTCATGAGTGCTGAATCTGTTCGGTTGAGCGTCAAATCCTCAACTTTTCATTCCACTCCAGAAAGCCATCATCATCTCCGAGTAATCAAACGCATTTAATATTTGGACGATCGCAATTTTTTCCTCAAGTACAACACAATTATGAGAATGAACTGATGAATTTTCATTTGTCCTTCCAATTCGTTTTTTTATTTTGCCCGAATGAAGTCCGAGTTCTTCATCCATTTGATTATTCCAACGTTTTGGTGATTATCGAATTAAAAGTAGCAATTAAGGCCCAGAAATTTCGTGACATTGATAAAGAGGAAATGAAGCAAATGGAGATGTCTATGGGAAGTCAAGGAAAATTCAATTATTTTTTGGAAAAGCTTTTGGTTTGTCGGCATGAAAATGGCTGCCCAGAGGAAGGATGAAGCCCTCACATGACGCTATGGAGGGGGAAGGGAGTATAGTGGGGGAGATGCCGCCATTTTTTCAGAAAATTTTTTTGTACACCAAAATGAAAACGATTTTCAAACACTTTGTTAAAACAATCTAAAAACTGTCCTTCCTGCTATTAGTCGGTAACAATATGCACAACAATATGCAATAATTACACGTCTCTATGTTAATCATTTGCTAACCTCTCGAGGGCTCCATGCACTTCTCATAAAATCATAAAATTATTAGTTCATTGAACGGATAATGTCGAATTCGAATTGATGAGATTATTCACTTAATTACAAGAACTGACGTTGCCCTGATTAAAACTTGGAGTTCTAAGTATCGCACGTCCTGACAATATAATGACTTTAGGGGGAGTCCTTTTAAATGATTGAAACCGATGATAGAAATGCTGATATTAAAATTGACCAATAATTAATTTAATTAATTGACACTGATTGAGGTCACCAATGAAATTAATTTTTTAGGATTCGCGGCATCGGTGATAAACGACCCACGTCGAATTATTTATTTAATTTCCCTTTCGCAATAAAATAAAAGGGGGAGATGTGTGGATAAAGATTAATAATTAATGGACGAGAAAAATTCAAACTTTTAATGTAAAAACTCTTTGGATGATGACCGAAACCTGTAACTTCATCAAATTCTTAGATTTATAATCACTATAAGTTTGCGATTTATTTTCGGTCTTTTTTTTTTAGTTTTGGAGCAATATCTTAAAATGTAAGATCATAGGGCCATTGTTTTGAGAATATTTTCGTGTTCTCACAGAAATCTTGTTACATATCTACTTCGTCACGTGGTAAAGTGGCGCCAGATCACATTTTCAACGCCCTATTGCTCACGATTTGAGTATTTTATATGAAAATGAATGAATTAATTATTTTTCAAGTTTGATATCACTATTCGAAGACGAAGATGCCTGGCTTCAGCAGTGTTGGGACTTTCAAGATCTTCATCGGAAATTTGGCCGATAAAACGACTAATGCGGACATCAAGCCCCTGTTCGAGAAATATGGCAAAGTCGTTGAGTGTGATGTTGTCAAGAACTACGGTTTTGTTGTAAGTTGAAAACGTTGAAGAATATTCATTATGTTAATTATTAATTAAGTCGACTTAGAAGGATACTTTCAAGATACTCTCAATTCTAAAAAACGCCCAATATTATAACAATATCGAAGAAAAATATTTATTATATATTAAAATAACAATTATGGTATTCGACATTATATTTTTTACATAAATATTATATTTGAATCTTGCTATGGTCTCTAAAATATATCGTACAAAATTATTTTAAAAAATACCTGAAAATACACAATATGATTTCTTTCAGCACATGGAGAATGAAGAATTGAGAATGAATTATTTTAAAAAATACCTGAAAATACACAATATGATTTCTTTCAGCACATGGAGAATGAAGAAGCCGGTAGAAATGCAATTCAAAATTTAAACGGTCATCTAGTTCACGGCCAGCCGATTAAATGTGAAGCAGCCAAGAGTCGTAAAGGTCCAAACACTCCAACCACGAAGATATTCGTGGGCAATTTAACTGACAACACAAAAGCACCACAAGTGCGCGAGCTCTTCGCTAAATTTGGAACAGTCGTGGAGTGCGACATTGTTCGAAATTATGGATTTGTTCACTTAGAGGCAACAGGTGATGTGAACGACGCAATCAAGGAATTGAACGGTCAGATTGTCGATGGCCAGCCGATGAAGGTCCAGATCTCGACGAGCAGAGTGAGACAGAGGCCTGGAATGGGAGATCCTGAACAGTGCTACAGGTGTGGACGAGGTGGTCACTGGTCCAAGGAGTGTCCCAAGGGTGGGATGGGAGGAGGACCAGATAGGAATGGATTCAGGGATAGGATGTTTGGCCGTGATCCTTACCCCCCACCACCACCACCACCTTTCCTCAGAGATCGACTCATGGGTGGACGAGGATTTGGGGTGGGTTGAACACTTTCTCTTTCCAAATTCAAGTATCATCTTCATAAGTTCGAAATATTTAATTTTTGTATCTGGATGACACGCGCATTTATTCGAAATGTTTGAAATTTAGGATAAATAATTGAGGAGAATATTATTTATATTAGACTGAGGATTGATAATAAGTCTGCGAAGAGTTATAAATCGTGGCATCAAATGACTTATTCCACTTTATAATTTGCATGATTAGGAGTACGATAGCTACTACGACAGACGAGGATTTGACGACACGAGAGATTTGTATGAAAGACGGTTCACTGGCATGTCTGGACCTCGTGACATGGACAGCTCCATGCTTGGACGAGATTTCCCCCCAATGTCAATGCCACCACTACCCACGAGACGAGATCCCATGCCACCGATGCCAGCTATAGGAATGGGCACCATGAGGGACAGTGGATTCTCAAGAGGAAATGATTATGGAATGTTCAGCAGACGATCTTCACCTCCCAGTGGAAATAATGGACGTTTCAGGTGAGTTGTCCTTTCAAACCAAGATGTTCGGTAATCAACTATTATAGCTCCTCCAAATTATGTTCCCGAAGACTGATGAAAATATTCATATTTTTGAACTCCACTTGTAGGAAACTAGTCGTATTGTGACGATTGTAAGATGTCAAATTCAGATTTTTTTATGCTTGGGTAGATCTATGAAATCTTTTCTAATGATTTGTATAATTCATATGAATCCGGGTGATGTACTACAATTCTCGTAATTTTTCTCGCAGCGAAAGATCACAAAGATCGTAATAAGATTCGGTCACCCTTTCAAATTCTTTTTCTTTTCCAATCAACTCATTGAGTCCGATCCAATTTTATTCTTAATTTCGCATAGTTTTTGTTATTTATTGGTGAATTAATTCAATTAAACAGAAAAACTCTTTGGAGGAGTTATATACACGGATTATCAGATTTTTATTTCAAAAATTGGAAAGTTAAATATTTTCAAAGATGTCCACGTACCTTTACATATTTTTAATAGAAACTTTAAATTTTCAAATTATTTTGATTCGTCATTTCAAGTTGCTGGCCAATAATTTAAGATGTGGAAATGATTAGATTATATTTGGACAGTTAACAATTATCAAATTTGGTACTTGAATATCTTTAAACTTCAGTTATTCCTTCCATTTTTAGATGTTTATATCCCTGGACTTCAACGTAATATTTATTCTGTTTATTTAGTATTTTTATCTGCATAAAAATACTTGAATGGTACAATGAAAAGCGGCACTGTGAAAAAAACCTGATAAGTCAGAGTGACGATTTATCCGCGACTTTTTTTCTCATATCGACTGATTGGGGTTCGATGATTCTTTGGAATTTCTAATCATCAATTTGTTGTAAATTCTTTTTTTCAACATTTCATGTTTTATGAGATTTTTTTCATTTTCTCATCCATTTCTCGTTAAAGTTTTATGGAATTCATTAAAGTAGTATGAGCACGACTCGATTTAAAGGATTGGAATTCAAAATTCGTATCAGTATCAATAGTTATAAATTATTGTCAATTCACCATTTACCCTTTATCTGAAAAAAATTACAAGGCAGTTCATTCCTCTCGATTTATAATTTTCTCTGGGATAAATGAATTTCAACAAATAGTGATTTTTAATAATGTTAGAATGGAAATCAGTAAAGATTCCATGTACCATATAAAATTTTTCACTTATTTTATACACCTGGAATACATAATTCATGTTCTTCAAACTTAAAATTTTCATATAAAATAACCATCAACGATACATTATTATTTTATTGACAATTCTGAATGCATTATTCTCCATTACCTCAACGCCTGAACTATTATTCGCTCATACTACTTTAATCACGACTATCAAAACAAGTTCACAAACTAATAAAACGCTGAAATTTTCATAGTTAGAATCGATTATTTATTATAACGCTGTTTATAGTAGAGGCATGTACGAGGACTTCAGCCGAGATTCTTTTGAGGAGCGTCGGTAAGTAGTTGATAAAAAAAGTTAAGAAAAAAAGTAGTAAAGCACCAAATAACCTTTTGAATCGAGAGCCCCAGATTCTGTTTTGATTCCTTGAGTTAATGTGTGACTTATCATTTTCTTGCGCTCAACTTTTCTCGACGTCGCGTTTTCTCGGTGCCGCTTGATTAATCATATTTTTTTATTTCGCAAGGATAATTCCTTGACATTTCAGCTGTTAATGAGTCAATTACTCGCAAGGTATCGTTGGTTGGGCAGAAAGGACGCAACTACAATTTTTCTCGTGAATTCGATCTAAGGAAAATTATTGATTCTTGATACGATTGAAAATTATTAATTATTTTCATTTATTTTGCAATTGCTGTTACGCTCAACTCGGACTGAAGAGTCCCATTTATTGACGAACAAAAATGTAGATTCCAGCGCAAGGTGAACGCAGCAGCAATTACAAAATATTAGATTTCAATATTCTACCGTTCGTAATTCAATTTGAAATGACGAAAAAACGGTTGAGGATATTTTAGTAACAATTCCAAGATTGTCAGTCATGCAAATTGTGGATGGAGTTGCACTAGAAAAAATGAATTGATATTTGGCTTTATCGATATTGGAAAATTGTCTTCTTTCAATTATCTACTTCGTATAAATTGAAATTCTCTGACTTAATTCATGAAAACGATTCATAAGCCGTAAAAATGTTACTTTTTGTAAGTTTTTCAATTTTTTTTTCCTATTAATCCGAAAGGAATCGTGAAATTAACCATTTTAAAAGCTGAAGTGATATTCTTTGGCGAATGTAAAGTAAAGATAAAATTCCCCAAGTACGTACTTTGATATCCTCAAGAATAAGTAATACTTTCGCTTTTTCATATGCATATTTTTTGCTAAAAAAATTCAGTTATTGAATGATGATTGAATTAAAATGGATAAAATTTCGCGTATACAAGATTTTGTTCCTCGAATGTTTGACCCTTTGTGACATTCCTATGAATTCAATTAAACTCATGATCTTATGGCGATGTAGTCTACTCGTTTAAAGAGTATATGTTACGTTTTTTTTACTCAACCTCAACGATACGTACTCCATTATTTCAAATTTGCGATAACCATTTCAAAATTAATCCAAAGAGACTAGGTTCCGGAACAAGTTTGACGTGGAGAAGAGTCGACTTTTGAATTTTTATTTTATATTAATTTCTGTAATCCTCACAAGCTAATCAATTTTTTACTGGAATTTCCGTGAATAATCGCTGAAATTTTCCCTTTGAATCAAGGCAAATTTTCCAGCTTCTCTCGTCTAGTTTCGCAACGAAACGATTCATCTTGATTTATTTTCAGTCGAAGCTCCATAATTCGTATTTTGTACATAAAATTATATATATATTTATAAATATATATCTAACGTCAAAAGCATGGCTTTCATATCAGAGTATTTCTGAATAAGAATAATTAAGAAAAAAACATGAATACCTATGAATTATCAGCGCTCAAGACACTATCAGTATTAAAAAAAGTGATTGCTGAAGATTTAGTATTGAACTGTGGTGCAAGTCTGTGATAAAGTTCTTCTACCTCCTGTAAACAACAGCCGGAAATTGCCTGGGATATAATAACATAAAATATCCATTGTATTATCATCAAAACCAGATAGACAACAAAATTTTGTGATTTGTAATGCATAACATGTGTTTCTATACGTCTAAATGAACTCCTGTTTCTCGTTAACAGACCGGGAATCCGTGGACCATCGCCGTCGCGCCGGTTCGCACCATATTAATCCAAAAAAATGCAAACCGAGGCGGATAATCTGAAAAACAAAATAATAAAAAAAACCCTCGTCGTCGCGTCGGATTCGCCGGATCGTTGATCGTTCGTCTTCGTTGCTTCCTCGGTCACTACGGAAAACACAAACAAGTGTCACGCATTCGGATCAATACACGGAAATAAGTACAGGATAGATCGGAACGTCGAAATCTCGTCGCAAGTGAGTATTTCGGGTCGTCTTTGGTCGTCGTCGGAAGCAGCTGCCCGTCGGATAACCCGAATTTATCGAATCAAATTGACTTGGAAATTAAATGATACATCTTTACATTATGTGCATTTAGACTCACCTTTTCTAGAATGGCCTTTTCAACTAATAGCAGCACTCTTTTTCTACAATTTTATTCGTCGGTTCCTGTTTCACGTAAACATTATATCGAGTCGATTCACTTATGACACTACTGCGCAGCTTTTTGCGCAGTGGCTCACGTGATGTAGAGTGGGGGAATCCCGAGTTTTTAGAAAAGGAGAGTCTGAATGCATTGGTATTTATACATTTCGCATGTGGAGTGAATAGCTTTCACAAGAACATTCGGACGACTACGAACGACGATTACACATGGTACTTGGAAAATTAAATCAACTATCGAAAATTCATGTTTTACACTCGTTTCATTAGTATTTCAACATCTTGCACGGTATATTCTTTTTGTATTTATAATTAAATACTCTCCAAACGGAATATTGATGGTTAGAAATAAAGAAAAAACATGGATTTTCGCACTTTCCAGCCTATTTCCAACTTTTTCGGGTTTTTGCGGTGATAGTCGTCATGCATGTTGCTGTTGTAAAAAAAAATCCAACTTAATGAATGAATATTGACGAATGAAATCTCAAATCAGTACCGAGGAGGTGAAAGGCTTCAAGTTGATTCAGTTATTTCAGTTCGAGATCGCAATATCCACTGTAACCTTTCACCTCTTCACCACCAAATATTTGCTTGAAAAATTCAGTGAAAACCCGAAAAAATTCTCATTATCATGCTTATGATTATCATCATCATCATTATTATTATTATTATTATTATTATTATTGGTAGTAGTAGTAGTATTAATATTATTATTGTCCTCATTATTATTATTATTCTTAATATTATTATATGACTATCATGAACCTTCTGATCACTATAATTATATAGAAAATGACTCGGGATAGAAGAGAGAATGGAATGACGGTCCGACGATGAAAGAATATTATTCAAAATTTACCTCTAATGATAGTGTAACTTTTATTAATACACTTAGGATTAATCTACTTGATGGAATAACGAAATACAAAAAACAATTTGTCGGAGAAATAACTCTGAACTGATGTAATATTTATTATGTTTCTCTTTATGAATAATTCCTTGATTTGCTTTCCAATTTATCCATACCTCTGTCCTTTATCATTCCATCTTCAAGGTGATCCATACAGTCGCGTATTTTTGTTCATTGAAATTCTTCTCCACCTTCGTAATTGAATATTATCTTACAAATATTGTCATTTGACTCATCAAAATGCGAAATTTTCTTGAAAGCATTTTATCTTCGCAGAGACTATTGACAGTGGAGAATTTTATTTGTTGAAAGTTCGTGTTTTCTGTCCTTAATTAAGTCAATAAAGAAATTAAGTAAGTGAATATGTGTATGAATATTTTATTAATGCTTTATCCTCATATGGGAGCTGAAAATTTCATTGTTTTCGCGAAATTTATCTCTGCTACATGCATTTATGATGAAAATTTAACGAATTTCTGGGATGTTGTGGAGTAATTACATTATCCATCCTTTTATGGGAGTAAAATATTTTTGTTAACAACCAGTCCACATTGCAATTACGTAATGTATCAACAAATGGGAGAATGAAGCTGTTGTTTAAGGTATATTCCAAAAGAATATACTACAGATAGTCATAATATCATTTTAAAATATCTTCTAGGTGTCAACCAACGGAAAAAACGGTATATATACGAAATATATATTAATTGTATACACACAAATATTCGTTATATATCTGATTTATGCATGAAATATATTTGCAAAATGCAATATATCACATATAATTATTAGCATTTATATTAGCATTTTTTCTGTGGGGAGACTGGGGTTTTCTATGGTTTCCCTAGAAATCTTAGTCTCAAAATTAAAACCGTTGCCACTACTAAAAATAAGATGTGAAGAGAAAAGAAAATGAAAGAGTTTTATTGACACAACGAGGTGCCTACCAAATTAATCCTAAAAATAAAAAAAATTGTGGTACTTCAAGAAAAAAATTCTGCGGTTAAAGCGTACGTCGAGTAATTGAATATGAATGCATGTGTGATAAACATCAGGACACGTGTATTGATACTCAAATAGTCCTTTTTGTGGAGTAAGAGTATGAATATCAATAGATAAAACTAGAATTTTCCAACTGCAGATCGAGCTTGGATTATGTGAAGTAATGCATCATCCAGCGGTGGAGACGAATCATTTGGAAATTCTCATCATTTACAAGGTAAGGTGTGAGTTTATTGAATATAGATTGCAGAAAAGAAGATGAATTATTTCTAAAATCATACTTCTGTCGAAATTCTCTGGAATAACTGGCGAAGGCTTGGATGGATAATAATTAGTGCATATGTTGAATCCCTATAGTGAACTAAATTTCCCTGTGTTTTTTCTGAAAAAATTCAAAAATTCATAAATAATTGCTTTTTACCGAATTCTTTATTTTCTGATCGATAATGAATTCATTTTCGACCTGATGAATTATGTAATCAAATTTGTAATGATGATGACTGAATTTAATTGATCATTGCTTAACACTTGGGACTATAAATTACGAGAGAACATTACCTTTATTTCATTCTCTTTTTAATGGAAATTCGAGTCCTGGGAAATTCATTAAAATGTGATCTTTATAGATAATCAATAGATTTCAGATTATGATATGAGAAAATTTAGTTATGGATGGATATGGCCAGATTTTCGCAATCCGTTACTGTTATCAAATTTTAAACTGAAAAAAGAATTTTTAGAGTGCAAAAATAACTACACTCAAATAATTCGTCGCAAAGATGATTTCAAAAATATTTTTCCACCTAGAAGATTAAAAATTTTCCATTAAAATCGAATATTGATCATTTATTAGATAACCGTTATCAAAAATGGTAATGTTTCATAACTGTTTGTGATTGGCTGTTGCTATCTTACTTTACGACGCGAATCAAGGACCCATTACATCCCACTTTGTATTTAATTTATCATGCAGTTCACAGCGTGTCTTCGTTAACTCACAGCAGCATTCTGCTCAGTCAATAATTCCATCCATAATGAGTGAAAAATTGAGGTAAGATAACTTTTATTTTCAATCAAACATTTAAAAAATCGTCACGATTTTACTTGCCACATAATCTTGAGGGAATAGTCGTCTGAAATATTTGAGGTTATCTGTTTTATTCTGGAGCATAAAGTTGATTTAAAAAAGCACTCATTAAAATTTCGTTAACAATTGACATGATAGCTAGAATTTCTCATATAAATTGTAATGATTTTTTAAAAATAATGTGAGCCAAAATGTCAGATAGATACTTTCTCAGAGAATAAATAATTTACACAAGTTTCAGATGATTTTAAATTACTGTTTAAACTCAACTTTCAGAGAGTTGTGATTTTTTTATAAATTATAATTCTTCGGGTATCGGATAATTTTGAATCATTTGAGCCCAACTAGCAGTGATGGTTTTTTAATAATAATTATAATAAATGAAAACGTTGCCACAATCTTTTCTTCATCATTAGATTGCAGCGCGTTCTCAATTGATTCAAATTTTTAATTGTTTTTTAAAGAGAGAAAAGATGGAGGATTTAAGATTGAGAAGAAGAAAGATCAATGAAAAATTAATAGAATTTCTTTTCAGGGAAGGTCTACTCCTGGGCTTGGGGAATCCACTATTGGATATCTCAGCAACCGTAGATGATGATTTTTTAGAAAAATATGGAATGAAACCAAATGATGCTATTTTGGCTGATGAACACCATAAATCATTATACGATGAGCTCATAGAGCAGTACAAAGCGGATTTTATTGGCGGAGGATCAGTCCAAAATACTCTCCGGGTTGCGCAGGTACGCAGAGATAATTATCGCATTATGTAATAATTTGATGTGTACTGATGCTGCGTAATTTATATCTCCGTGAATTCGAATTAAGAGGTGTTCAGTGGCTATTGAGAATATCAACCCCATTTTTTAAACATATGTTTTTCATATTTTTCATATTTTCCAAAAAGTATATTTCTCAAAATTCATTCTAACAGACAAATGGTGAACACCATGTATAATTTCAATTTTTTGAATCTCTAAGTTTTAAAAAATTAGATAAACGGACAAGAACTTTCATAAAATTATAGTATAATTGAAAATTTCTCGTCCCCTTGGGATGAGTTATATTGAATAAATCAATAAATTAAAGCGAAGAAGAGATATATTCAAAGTTTTCATATCAATTTAATTCCACACTTTCTCACGGTTTTGCGACGCGGTATTTTCCGTATTTATTTTGTCGATAACTTCTCCCGGTGGCTAGTGAACACAGAGAAAACTATTATGAAATATTACACCTTCAAGGATATCCCCGTGGTTCCTTAATTTTTCAGCTGTCGAAATCTTATACATCGTCACCTTGAATGTTTACCAAACAAAACCGAAAAATTCTCCACCGCTCCACTTCGGATCTCTTTCATATTTTGGTGAGCTCCTAGATATCCTTGAATTGAACCGGAGTCTTTCTTCTAAATTATATTCCTTAAAAATGGTTTCTATTTCCTATCAACTAGCCACTTCCTTTCTGCTTCCCGATTCTATAGCCAAATGATATAATTTTTTTAAACTTTCCCCCGGAAAATGCATGCAGTAACAATTTCACATTTTTAGTACATTTGCAATTGACATTTTAACTCAGTCAAAGAATAGTAGCGAGCTTCCTTTGCATCTTCATCATAAATTAATATAATTATTATTAATATAATTAATAAATAAGATATTTTCAATATACAGCCTTTAGGCGCATGTCGTTTTTTCGTGCATTTTACAAAAAAATCTGTCCACCGTATTTTCAACGAATTTATCTCCCTCATTTCTATATTTCTTATCGTCTAGTGTTTTCTTCAAAATTTAACTCCAAACAAAATAAGACATATCTTTAATTCTGAATCAAGAATTTCAACTTGTTTCCACATAAGCTGATTGATGCGTTGTGATTCTCTTCATTATCGTTTATTTTATCGTTAGAAGGAATACTCTCAAAAGTCTAGGAGAGAAACATTCACCTTAGTCAACTGCAGCTTGAAAATTGATACGTTGGAGTTTCTCAACAATATTGTTAACATTCTTAAAAATCTCTTGAATATCCGTGTCGAATGATCAAATAAATTCGTCCATTGACTCTCTTTGTTGAAATAACAAGATAAAGCACGATCGGTAGCATAGAAGCTGCATCATTTGATGATCTGATGTAGTCAGTAGGGGAAGGGATGATAGCCTTCTTCGCGCCAGTATCTGATAAACCTATACATTTCATTTAAATCATAGTTCTGATCACTAGATTTCCGTATTATCTCTCTCGGCCGTTATCGATGGTCATGATCTTCTGGATATTGTGAGTGTTCAATGTTATTATTCGGATTTGTCTCCAATGATAGATTTCGGTTATCTATTCTGTCGTAATTTATTAGTATCAACTCTATTGTCGTTACCTGTGTGTATTGATTGTCTTGAGTGTTTTGTTTTCTTAAGGGTCTTCTCCTTTTCTATTTCGTCGCTAGGTCATTAGGAAATTTTTTAGCGATTGTGAGTTCACGGTTCGAGACGAAGAAATGTAATCATCAGAACGCTCTGACGATTGTATTTACCGAAATTGTGATGCAACTCGGATAAAATTTTTATTACATCTTATATTGAACATTATTTTTCAGTGGATTTTGGAAAAACCTCATATAGCCACGTTTATGGGGTGTGTAGGAAAGGATAAATACTCAAAAATTCTTAAGGATAAACTCCTAGAGAGTGGAGTGAACGTTAGGTATCAGTACCATGATAAGGAGCCCACGGGTACCTGTGGAGTCCTCATCACCGGGAAGAATCGATCATTGTGCGCTAATTTAGCAGCCGCTAATTGTTTCTCACCGCATCATCTGGATGATCCGGAGAACAAACTTCTTCTAGAAAATTCTAAATACATTTACATTTCGGTGAGAAAAATAATTTTCGGTAAAAGAATAATTTTCTTCTAATTCTAAGAATTCATTAGAAGAAAATTATTTTTTAAATAACAATGCGTTAACTTTTCCTGGCCCATATTTAAGTGGTGAACGTTGTGATTATTCTTCCAGGGTTTCTTTTTAACTGTGAGTCCAGTGACAATTCAACAAGTTGCGAAACACGCACATGAAAACAATAAAATCTTCATGATGAATTTGAGTGCTCCATTTTTATGTGAATTCTTTAAAGAACCCATGATGGCAGCGTTTCCTTATGTAGATATAATATTCGGAAATGAAACCGAGGCTGATGCCTTCTCCAAGGCGAATGACTTGAAAACGATGGACAGGAGAGAAATTGCCTTGAAGATGTCAAAGATGGAAAAACTCAACGACAAACGGAAAAGAATTGTTGTTATCACGCAGGGAGCTGATAACGTCATTGTAGCTAAGGATGATAAAATCACAGAATATCCGGTCCGGAGAATACCCGAGGATAAAGTTATAGATACAAATGGGGCAGGAGATGCTTTTGTGGGAGGTATGTACTCGTTTATTACGTAAAACTCAAATATCATGACGACAATTTATAAAATTCGGGAAAATAGTCTCTGATAGACGTGATTAACCCTCGTAAACTGGTTTAATTCATCAAATCCTTTTCGTTTTCAAATTTTTCTTCTTTCGATGAAATGACAGTCGACGGAGATGTGGAAAAACTACAATATCTATTTTCAAATTATATAAAATCATCTGAGACTTGAGGATTCATCATTCCATAAAAAAATGTATATCCATCGTTTGTTATTATTTTTCAGGATTCCTCGCCCAATACCTTGTTGGCAGAAGCATTGAAACCTGCATAGCATGCGGGATTTGGGCAGCTACAGAGATTGTCCAAAGATCTGGTTGTACTTACGCAGGAAAACCTAATTTTGTACCTTAAGCTCATATTTTCTTAAATTGAATAAGTACCTGTGCACATGATGGATAATTACCACAACTGGGCTGTTACTTAAAAAATCAAATTCTTTCAATAAATGGTTTAACCAAACGTTTTTTTTCACTTCAAATCTATTCTCGCAATTCCACTGACAGATAAAATTCTACATTATTGCATAATTACGTTGCATTTTAATAATAATGTCGAATAATTGAAAAGACAATTAATACTTTTCAAATATTTTTTAAACCGATGACTGCATAGCGCTGTTTTTCTTGGAGTAATCGAATTTTCAGTGATTGGATACAGATTATCCTTCTCTACCTACCATTTCAAGACCGGCTGTTTTCATTGAAGCATTCTTTATAGCATGGTGTTTATACTCGCTACCAGCATGTAAATTTGAAAATTTGAATTGCCTTACGCCTTTATTCTAAATTTCCTTCTACAAACTTTCAACATTCGTTCTCAACTCACGCATCTCTTTCAACTAGTTACGAAACATCCTTCATTACATCTATAATACTCCACATAATTCCTTGGAACTTTGAAAGTGGAGGAAACTTGAGAAATTTTCTGGAAGTGTTTTCTTAGTTTTCTTTGTGAAAGAAGAAAAGGAAATTAAAAAGAAGTAAAAAAAAGACAGAGAGCTATAATTCTTGGATTATTCGCAGCGAAGTCAGTTGAGATACATTAATTTTTTTTCTTGAGGCACTTAAGTGTGTAAATGGGTGTGATGATACCAGAATGGATGAACTATCACATACCATCGGAAATGTGGTAAAGGCGGTGGTGTTACCCGCACACTCGACCTCATTGATAAAACTACTTGGCGTTGATCCAGGTCTCCCCTGCCGCTTATCCTGATATCAACGGAGTCAGTGCTTTTTTTTTCGACCGGTAATAGGAGTGTATTTTCGTAAGTTCAAAACTTCTCAGTGATAACGAGCGTATTGCACGCCATAGCGTCACAATATTCTCAGGTAACAGGGCACATTAATGCGAATTGGCTTCACCAGTGATAGCATTCCGCTGCAAAGACTTGCGGTATTTCTTTTTTGTCTATTGTCGGCTTCGTTTTTCTCGACGACCTCCATCCTTATTTCAAATTACTCTTCTGATATTTCGTGAATTTCGTCGAAACGAAATTTGCAATTTCCATAAAAATTGTTAACAATTTGAATGTTCAATATCTCTGGGTTAAAAAATGATATGAAAAAAAGAAAGAAAAGCACATCTTTGGGATTAGAAGGACTTTCTGGGATAGTTTACCGTATATTTCTATCACTACTCGTTTGGGTAATAAGCGAGGCTGAATATTTGATGATAATTTTCAATTTTTATCAGAATTGTTAATAATTTCGTTGTTGAATGTCTTTCAATAAACAAATGATATTTAAATAAAGAATGAAAGCATGTCTTTGGAATTAGAAGGGGTTTCCGTGACAGTTATTATTTCTTCATGTCTAGTGAAATACGGTTCGATCACTTGAACATTCTGTTGCGAGTTTAACAGTGTAGTTTCCATTTCTGGATATCTTTCCTTTGGAGCTGCATTTATATTTTGAATTCGCGAAAAACTTATGGAAGAATTTCAATTACAGGAATTTAGTAGAAGTGATAACTTTTAATTGATAAAATATTGGGAATTTTATGACATATGGAACTCGTGAAAAGTTATTAGCCGCGGGCTAGCGACGTCGTACTACTGCGACGGTTACCAACAATCATTCAATTATTATCAACAATTATTGTGGCTATTAAAGTCCTGGCTCTTGTTGATGGAATTTCATTTAATGCTTTCAATTGATGGAAATAAATGGAACCAGTCATGCAGAACAACGCAGACAGCAATTACTCGTAAAACTTGATCTGACATTTTGGAATCGTGTAGCGTAATATAGCTATTCAGGAATTATTATCAGAAATTGAAAGTTCCAATTTCTAGTCCAATTTTCTAGTAATCTTTCTGAAGTCCCACTACACTGTACAATATTCGTAAAGAAGCGGCAGGGTAAATTTCCTCAAAAATTTCTCTCCGTATACACTGGCGTTTGTCCTATCCGCAGATATTACTCCACACGGAGAGATAAATTCTTTAGAAATTAAGTGCCTGTTCCGTAACCTGCCAGTCAAAACAATATTCAGTAAAAATTACGGAACAGTTATGCACTTTTTCAGTGGACTTGCCGAAAAAAGTCCAGAACGTTCACAAAAAAGTACGGAACGTTCAGTGAAAAAATGCGTAACTGTAATGCGTAACTGTAATTTTTACCGAATACTGTTCTGACTAGCACGTTACGGAACATGCACGTAATTTTTAAAGAATTTTTCTCTCCGTGCAACAACAATTCACCTTTTTTAATTTGTATTCTTTTTAAAAATGTTTCAATCTGAAAATTTGGGGATTTTTAAGGGAACGGATAGTGATAAAACGGTAATAGGGGAAGAGGGGGAGTTTTCAGAATTTATAGAATATTGAAAATTCGAAAAATTTGACAAACATTGCGAGAACAAATTATCCGACAAATTTCGGTTGAGGGATGGGGCAGGTGAAGGACGGCGAGAAAATTTTTGAAATTAAAATAATATGGAACATTTCCCGAATCTCAAAAATTTGGGTAACATCGCAAAGACTATTTTTCTCGCACACACTTTTCAAATCTCAATTTTTATATTCTCAAAAATTTAACTAATTTCAATTTTAATTCTAACTTAAATTTCGATTTTTCCTCTAAGTGCGATGCAGTACAAGTATCGGCTGGACAACCTGAATTTTTGATAATAATAAATCAAGTGTGCAAAGGCCTCCAAAATGTTTATTTTTATCCCGGCAAGCCAATAAATATCGAAAGCTAATTTTCTGTTCGGTTCATGCTCACGCAATTGACCATTAACGTTCGAAATGTATTTATTCTTTCTGGTCAAAGTAGACAATGTAACACAACAATTGGTTTCGAAAAAGAGTGTCCCCGTGGTGATATTTGGGCTAGGTGGAATGACGTCGGTGGAATGGATTCGTTTTAAAGCGGATGGAGCACTCGAATGAGCAATCATATTCGTGAATCCTCCAAGTCAAAGAAAATACCTAAACATCATGTTAATTTTTTATTGGACAGCACCAGTAATTCACAATAATTTTTGATTGCAAAACGTCATTGTTTCGAGAGATAGATAGTTTTATTAATTGAAGATGAAGTGAGCTGAGTGGTATATCAGATGTGCGCCTCATTCGGCAAGCTATTCATCTCAGTTGCACGACACTTGGCCTTTCCATTGCTTGACTGTACTACCATGGAAAGCTTCCTGGCTCCTACTGGCACTATGTCATGTTTATTTATCAGACTGCTATTCACCGTTCGTCGCTTGCCACCAGAATAATCATTTTCATTGTCAGGTACTTTCATATGTACGAGGTCCCTTGACGTCTCCGAGTGATATCTATTAAAATTAAGTATCCATTAGACATTCAATAGCTAAAATAAAAAAATATCAAATTATACTGGAAACTTTCACGTTGTTTTCACACAAAAAATTCAAATGCAATTTCAAGATTCGAAGACATAAATTACAAGATTAAAAACCCGGTGTATAATAAGAAAATAACTGAGGATTGTAATCATGTAAGTTTTCCATCTTTGAAATTATTAACCTTGGAGACGTCTAATTTCTAAGATAAATAACGCTACTGATATTTCAATTCTTAAACAATCAGATGGTGCGAGTATACGCGAGATTTTATGATTAAAACTGATCGGGCGAGGATGCGATATGATAATAGGAATTAGAATAGAGTTGAATCTATTGTTTTCCTGCAGAGAACCAACTACTGAGCGAATAATTTCCGGGTAATCACCCTGATTAAATGCCCTAGCTGTTGTCAAAATGTTATAATGTTATCACAAAATTAATCGTGCTTGTGATCAGTCTTGAATTTTGAAGATTTCACAGAAAAAAAACTTGTAAAATTGGTTGGATTTTTCTAAATCCCTCACCATGACCGATTATTCTCAAAATGTCTAGAGTGCCTTCTATTATTCTTTGAGGGCGGTGAATTTGCCTCGAGCAAATTCACTCTTATCTTTTCAATTGTTTTAACTCTTCAAGGAGAGTGGATGTGGCATATTTGTGATCTGTTTAGATGTTATACTGAAGTCAACATAAGTTTTGCCTTGACAACCAACCCCCACCACATCAATTTTACATACAAACTCATGTTTCCCACTTTCTTTCTCAAATGAAAAAGTGATAGGTTGTGGATCTGATAGCCTAACTCGATTTTAGCGAGTGGTATCAGGATAGCCGATGGACATCGTAGCTAATCGATTTTGTGTTGAATAACTTAAACGTGATAATGTGTTCGAATAATGCATCGAAATCGAATTATTTTTCAAGAGATGTGATGAAACCATCGCGTGGAAAAAACCATAAGGGGATATAGCGTAATGGTTTTTAATACTTAAGAATATTAACCGTAAAAGGTGCGTTAAGCTCACGGCAAAAAATTAATGAAATTAAGACGTTTTTCCTAGCTGGTTGAGATTTTGAAATGGCGACAATATGTGGTCCATGTGAAAAGTGTCCACATCGTAGCATCAAATTTGCAAGATATTGACTTTTGTGAGGGTCGTTACTATATTCCCTTTTCTATCCCCGTTACGTCTTCAATCAATGTTGACCCGATTCTCTTATTTTTCATATTGACATTAATTTTCATGGGATAGAATTAATTTTGGGGTCAAAATACGAGGGACCTGACCAAGATCGTCAAACTACCCATAACTCTAATACCACACGGAGAGAAAAATTCGATAAAAATTACGGAACAGTTACGAACTTTTTCACTGAACGTTGTTTACTTTTTCCTGGACGGACCGGACTTTTTTTGGACGTTCAGTGAAGGAGTGCGTAACTGTTCCGTTATTTTTACTGAATACTTTTTTTTTCTTCGTGTACCGAGTGGACAGTCACATAAAGAAAACTTTGCTTGTGGTTCACTAAGGGAAATCAATAAAACCAAAGGATCCAGAAAAGGTGAGCAAATGAGAAAAGCCCATGTGGAAAATAAAAATAAATATCGACTAACCGGTAATGAGAGACCTCGATCGAACGATCTATAAAGGGCGGAAGAGACGAAAGGACAGAATGTTTCGAAGACTGATGGCTTTCCCTCTGAACCGGAGGACTATTCTATTTTTCTTTGTCATTCAGTTTCTTATCTTTTGATCCATTGCCCATTCAATATTTTACATCGTATTGATGAAAAAAAATGGGTTACTCTGAACATCATTGAAGAATGAGTCCCTTAGGTAGAGCTTCTCTGGTCAATTATGCTAATGGATCAATCAATGATGTGTCATTAAAGAGAATGAACGTGGATGTATCAATCCAGAAACACTTCGTGATGTGCGGTTGTGTGTGAGGTACACTGAGAAGAGAAATTTCATTTGCCAAGAATATTTTCTTCCCGCCAGTATCCGAGTGGAAATTTCGATCAGGTCCAGATCAGAATTTGACCAGGTAAGCCCTAATGATCGATTAGGATCTGATATGGTAACTGGATCAAATCATGATCAGTCATGTAATGGCGTTTTTAATCAAGACTTGATCAGGTTGAACAGTTCAGGATTTGATAAAGTCAGCTTTATTTAAACCGGATGATGCGAATAAACAATAATTATTAGCTCAAAATAATAAATAATCCAATTTTATCACTAGAGTTCATCTGTCTTAATGGATCTTTTCCATTATTAACAGTGAAAAATACTTATTATTTTACCGATCCGGGGCTCGAACCTGCAATGTTCCGATTACAAGTTCTATGCTCGGTCCACTATAAATATACCAATGGCTGTGTAAATGCTCCCATAGGATTGACTAACGCCATAAATATTTTCTTATGGTTAGTAAATATTGTTAGCTAAAAATATTTTCTTTCTCAGTGTACATGAATATTGTTGACTTCTTGGGTGATATCCGAGTAAAAAAATGATCCGTAAAATACCACTCGTGCACGGACAGGAATATTCAATAAAAATTATATGTCTTTTCCATAATTTCGGAGCTAAATGTGGTAGTAGGAAATTTTACGGAACTGTCACAGAACTTTTGCGTGACAGTTGCGGCGTTCCGTTATTTTTATCTGAATTATTTGTGAAGAATTACGATGCAATTGTTTCTTTTTTATGAAAGGCCATTTAGAAGAATGCAATTATGCATTTTTCCTTCAATTGCTTGACCTTATTTCAAGTAGTATTTGGCTGGTTTAGACCCAATTGGACTATAATTTCTTCATGTCCACTCTTTTGTTGGACCATCGACCTGCAACCAAGTGCACAACTTGACCTTTTTCTTCTAGTATTGGCAACACAAAACCCTGAGTAACTAGCTCAGCTGGTTTCTACAACGTTTCTGTAACTGACTCTGGAGTGGATTGCTCAGCGGTTGTACAGTTCGTCAATCTTATTTCGAGGTATCATGTATTACAAGACTTTACCGTATTGTTCCGATTTCAATTGTCCCGCACCTTGACCGGTACTGTGTTCATAGAAGAAACTTATATCAGAGCAGTCAACATAATTTTTATGATTTATATTTAAAGGCATTTGATTGTATTATCGATACTTGTGACGTAGTTGATTTGATTATTTTTTCTTTGTTTTGTTCTTTGATTTCGATGAAACTTGAAGTGTTTTCACATTTTATTCTATTTTGATTATTTTCATAAATTTTCGTAACGTTTATGTTTTCGAAATCTGTTTAGTTCGTCTTAGTTTAAAAGTGATTTTCAAGATTTTTTATTTGAATGGATGATGCTGAAATATTTTACAAGTTAATTGTTGAACGTTTTAATGATATTAAAAAATAAAAATGTTTAATCTCGCTTTGCTTTTGTTGATTCCAAGTTTTTATCATTGCAGGAATGATTGCAAAGAAATCGTGTGATTGAAATTATTTGGATGAGTTCAATAAATTTAAGTGATTTCAATGAAGATTCGTGAACATTTTGGGAGTTATTGCCTCTCGATCTACGCAGGCAATTAAAAACGTCAAATTACCATTTCAAAGGCAACGAATTCATAATGAGTTTTTCTCCATTCTACATTTAGCATTTACGTGATTCGCATGAAAATAATTACTTTGTTAAATAAAGCTTTTAATGAGTGAGTTCTCTCGAGTTTTAACAACCCTTGCGGTGGAATGTTCTATAAGTTAGGTAACGATAGAGAAAGGCACTTCAAAGGGGCCTGTACCTCCATAATAAAATATATAAAACGTACGAATAATATTCGAGTGATTTTACTGCTTCCAAGTGGAAGCATTGCAATCGTTTTTTTTTAGTGAGTAAATAATACACGACATGTGTCTTCCCATACACTGAGTAAACTACTTCCTACTGCGTTTGCGTTTCCCGTAATGTAAACAGAAGAACGATATGCTTGAAACATCTTATTGTGCTAGAGTTTTATATAAATAATTTTATATAAATTTTAACATAATTATCGCAATCCGTAGCTGAAAATTCAAATAAAAATTGGACTCCTCCGGAAAAATTTCACACAATTTTCCTGAACTGCAATATCAGTGAATGGGATAACCCGATTGCAGCATCCGAAAAGTGAAAATAATGGAAATTGATAGTTTTCACGAAAAATTCTGACTGAAATCTACAGTGATTATACCAGTGATACATCATTTACTGAACGGAGAGAAATATTCAATCCAAACGTGTCTTTTCCGTAATTGCGTAGCGAAATGTGTGGAAATTTTACGAATCTGTCACGGAATTATCCCGCGCCATTCCGTAATTTTGACTAAATATTTCTCTCCGTGTGGTGAGAAGAAAATATTTGAGGAAAAATAAATTTTGTTTTTCAGTAAAGAAACCACTAAAAGAGGGTTAAAGTTATTGTTGTTGTTGCAAAAATTAATAGTCATCCTATAACTGTTCTGGCTCATTTTATTATTTTATAATTTTCCTTAGAACAACATCAGGATAAGGAGACTAGTTTATACAAACAGAAATAGAGAGAGAGATGAATGAAGAACAGTCTTTTGTAAAATGGATCCAGAGCGTAAAAACTTGAGTTGCTATGAGTTACTATGAGTAGAATTGCAGAGGTCATAGGAGAAAGTTACACCTGACTGCGTTCAATAAAAGTTAACATCTAAGCCTAACTACTTTAATTATTTACTAATTCCTCCATAATCCAATAGCTATCTGCAAAATTTTTATAATAACAATACTGAGTGAATATTATACATACTTAATGCTTCTACTCCTCGCTCGTGCTATTTGAGAGCTTCGACATGAACCACATCGGTAAATAGTCGTCTCCTTCATACTACTTTGATCCTCCATGTTAAAGTGGTTGCCTGTTGGTGTGCAGCACAGAGTTTCAACAAATGCACTTCGGTACTTGACACTCATAACATTATAGAGAATGGGATTGATCGCAGTACTGATGTAGTACAAACAACCACCCAGAAAATACAGCCACTCATTTACATCACCGAATGACCTCGTCCGGTCGTAGACGTAAAGTAGCCGTTGAGCATGGAAAGGAGCCCAGCATATAAAGAATGTCACAACTACTGCACCTGCGGATGACAAAATTACTATTGAATTTCGGAAAGATCATTTACGTAATTCTGCTATTTCTTAATTAAATGTAATATCAAGAGGAATTTACATTTGTGGGAACGTAATCATAATGACTCTATTCGTGTTCACCTCATTGAGTCCGACTCAATTTTATTTTTCATTTCCATTATTTATGTTATTAAATTCATTCGATTAATTCGATTTTTCAGGAAAGGAAAATGTTCTACAGGCATTATTCGTAGGTGGTACTAGAAAGGGAATTGATGTGTCGTTTATTATATACAAGATCGTTTGCACACGCAGTCATTCGAAATGTTTGAGATTTAGCGACGAATTCGTGGTGGCGGGTCGGTTTCGTCTTACGGTCATCCGACATATTTCGAGAATTGCGAGATATTTCGAGAATTGCGAGATATTTCGAGATCGATTTCCCCTCTCGATTTTACATTATTAATAAAAATCACTTGAGTAAATAACTACTCGAGAGTAAATAACGAGAAAAAAATGATTTGCTGCTCTAATTTTCATCTCGCTAATCACCACACATTGCGGATGATTTAAATTTGTACAGAAGGTTTCTAATTAACTGAAATGAATATTTTTACTGAAAATACCCCAGTACGTTTAAATTGATGAATTACATACTTAACATTCTTATAATGATTTTCCTGGAGTGTGCCTGTCTGGTTTCGCCATGCACGGTTCCCTCAATGCTACTTCCCAAAGTTGTATTTTGTATTCGGAGACCCATGCGAATATAGAGTACCATTATCAAGATCAGAGGGACAAGAAAGAATATCAAACAACTGAGCTCGTACAGAGGGAAGCCTGGCATGTTGTGTAATAGCATAGCGCAGAAGGCTGACTCCTCGGAATTACGACCGCTTCCTGTAACACAGAACTAGTATAAATACTGTCACTCTGGTTGAACGAAATTACCTTGAGATGAGTTAAATACCTGGACTTACCTGGTGGATATTCGACATAATTCACCGTAGTGTAAACTGCAAAGGGAAGTGCTGCAACCATTGCCAGTAGCCAAGCAGCGAATATAAAGCGTAGCGGACGTTTTAAGCCACTCATCGCATACAGATGGAGAGGATGGCAGATAGCTAGGTACCTCTCCATCGAGAATGCCACTATCGTTAATACCGAGACGTACGACGACCTTTGAAATATAGTAAATATATTATTATATTATTATTATATATTAACATTGATATTTTCTATTATGAATATATGTACAGAAAAAAACAACTGCAAAATACACAGAGAGAAAGATTGAATAAAAATTCCTAAAACAGAAGGCAAAAATCATATTTCCAACTATAATTTAATTCAACAGGTCTATCTCATGGGGAACTGATACATTTTTCGGATTTTTACCTTCTGGTTAGTCGAGGCGTTTCGAAATACTCCGGTCAGGGTCTAATTTGGAGAGACTAATTTGAACCAGAGATCAATCCAAATGCAATCAGCTCGATCAAGTTCAGATTATCAAGCTTGATCTCCGACGGAGGTCGGTCTGCTTGCAATTGCTTTGATTCGGCAAACATTATCTGATCCTGGAGTTAAACTCAATGCATGAATCTAATTTGAAGTGATTTGTATTCGATGCATTTCACCCATTTCTTCAAGTTACTAAAAGAGAAATTCATGGGATTTCATCTATTAAATCAGATTTCAAGTTGATTGAATCTTTTTGTTAATTCGATTTTTTACCATTGATTCTCTGTTTAATTAGTTAATAGCTATAATCAAGTGGGAGGAGGGGTTGAGGGAGAGCTTAATGAAGGATTCTATTCAGTGAATCAGCGAAATGATAGATAATTCTGGAATTGACGAATATGCCAATACCATTCCTGGAAGCAATGGGGAATATCCTCGATCAGAATAGCATGATATTCACGTGCAGAACGATGTAAATGTAAATTACGTCCAGATTGATTTATGGGTCTACTGAATCGATCCAGACCGTCAGTAAAAATAAAAATATAATTTTAGACTATGATTCGTCCAAAAAAAGTGCTGACTCTAACTGATTCGAATCCAATTCGAATATCGGATTATTTCAAGATGAAATGTCTCTAGGCTGAACATTAATTTGAATCAAAATCAAAAAATAGTGTAAAACGACCCAAAATTCGATTTCAATCAAGCAGATATATCGGTTTGTCATTCGATTCACGGAGATAAATATTCAATAAAAATTTTCCAGAACTTGAGTTAGCTTGCGGATTATAAAATTGAGGGAAAAAATTCAAGTGACGATATATTTTTTCATATCATATTTTTTTCATATGAAAAATGGAGATAAAAATTAAGGAACGCTCCAGAAAACTTCCGTAATAGCTTCGTAAAAATTTCCTTAATTACTGCTCGCTCCAGAATTATGAGAAAGATAAGTAATTTTTATTGATTATTCTCTCAACCCCGACGTCAGCCAATAAAATTGCACCATTCCCCGCCACGTGGTAAGACCCGGACGGGTTTTAACTCTTAATTTTTAGATTATTTTGTTGGGTAAAAAAACATCCTGTCAGATTAACCCCTGGTCTGACACTTAAATTGAATGATTGATTAAATTTATTAATTCAAAGTTTCATTTTTCAACGTTTGGATTGGGAGAATAATCTCCTGAATCTCACACGAGCTTTAATATTTATCAAACATTTCTCTCAAGGTGTCCTGCCTACAGATGAAGTCATCAAATAGTTCAGGAAAAATCATTTCTGTTAAAATGAAAAAATTGATTCCTTCATTTATTTGGAACGAACCTATCGGGAAATATCCGATAATTTCTCTATCGTAAATGAATATTTTTCTCCGTGCACCCAATCAATTACATTGATTTTAAACATCATTCAGATGAACTCATTCAAATCGGGTTATTTGGACTGTACCAATCCTAATTCCCAGCCTGAATGAAGCGAAAAATCGAATTGAATTAACTCGATTCCCGGCAGGATTCAAATCGATTCGTCGCAATCTGTGCGCATCAGCTTTTTGCCAGACAGTTTCTTACGGTTTCTAGTCTGTAAATCAGTAAATAGAAATAAAATAAAATAATATATAATAATAATAATAATAGATACAATTAAATTTACTCATTAACAGAGAATGCAGAGAGTTTCATTTAATTAATTTACAACTACAATCACTGTAAACTCACGTTTCGGACACGTAAGCTCGTATTTTACATAGACCCCAACCAAGCTCCCACGGATACTGCTGCCAGAAAACTTGCAGCTCAAATGGTAACCCTGAAATATTACCTGAATTAGTGAGTCCCTCTTTCGGACCACCAAAAATAACAATTTTCAATTGAAATCATAAACATTCCTGAGAAAATAGTCATGAGAACGATGCGATAATATTGCGTCATCGATTTCTGCGAATCTCAGTCAATCAACGACTAGTATTTGTAGGATTTGCTGCACTGTTGGAAATTTTTTGAAATTTCCATCACAACGTCATCCGAATTGTTTATTGAATTCCAATGAAAAATATTTATTAAATATCATGTATACTGAAAAATCAAGAAAATCCATGAATTTTCCACATTTCAAATATTTTCAGAACCATATGGACTTTTGATTTTTTTAATTGAGGTTTACCAGAATCTTCAATTAATTAATTTAGGTATGATAATTATTGATCAATGACAAATTCAGCAGAAATATCATTTTAAAAATTTTTTGATAATTTTCCGATAATTTTCCGACAATTTTCCGGATTTTTTGTTCAGACTTGAAGGATTATAACTAGAGCATTAGTTATACCGGATATTACTCCTGCCACTCTTCTGTTGCCAGTCGTTCCCCCGAATAAAATACTAGCACCTGTCTACAATATTAAGGGCCATCGATCATTGTCTGTGGAGAACTTGATAGATGAAATGTTTGCGGTCGCCAGAATGTGAACTTTTGAGCCTACACGAACCTTGGAGTAATGGGCTACTGCAATATTTATCACAAAATTTACATAAACGTTGACCTGGCCCAATGATCGGATGTTCGTATTTAGCTATCGTTATTTCAGGCCAATAAGGTCACGAATAGTGTCTCATAATTATTAATTAGTATGGGGAGACGCGTGGCAAGAGGCACGATATCGTCTAGTCATCCGGGCCATTAACGTTTGATTTACTTCACCAGGGGACCACCACGAACCGTCAATAGTGAATCTATCCATTCATATATTTTCTCTCTCCTGAAACACCGATAAATGACCGGAAGTCACACTATTTCATTTATTTTACCTCAATGAGAAAATAAGAGAATTTTATTGTAATACCATTAATGGAGATTGAGTACCACAGATAGAGAATCGTCAAGCAAACTAGTTCCATTAAAATTAGTAGACCAGTATAAATTATTATGAATATTTAAGTACAGAAAGTAGAGAGTCGTCAAGCAAACTAGTTCCATTAGAATGAGTAGAACAGTATAAATTATCCTCCCCGAAATTACACCAGACACGAAGTTGAAATTGGGATCAGGAGCTTGAAGTGGTTCGTGTCAAAATTACTGCTACATGCCAACCGCTAAGGAGAGATGTCACTTCATGACTATATTCTAATATTCTAATAATCTACCCCCAACCAGACTGAGTGTCAGAAACTTGAATACCACCTCAAAAGGAAACATTCGGCTAGTGAACGACAGCTACTTCTATTTTCTCCAATATATGTATTAATATTTTTAATTCATTTGACCTTAAACTAATCTCTGACCGCTGTAAATTAATTAGATGCTGAGTAATTCACTTTAATTTTAATGAATTAATTTTACTCGCCTGTGAATTATTTTTAGTTCTGTTGATTCATTTTTGGTTGAGAATTATTTATTTTTCTGTGGATTATTATTTTTATGGGTTTGATCTACTTGTTAGATTCAATTGTTGCTGATGTTTATATTGATATTATTCTAATGTTAATAGAAATTATTGATTTTTTATTTATGGATTCGAGTAAAATCTGGGACTCGACTTTTTCCTTTCGTACTCGTTTCCCCGAATTCAATTTCCATTTTGATATACTCGTTAAACTATCCTGAAAAGTTAAAAACTATAGGAATATTCTCTGATAGGCTCGTTGCAAGCGAATGGAGATGTGTTCCATACTCAGGATTTTCACACCGCAAAATTTAACAGATTTGTTACGAACGGTTGGGAAGGTTGAGAGAATTATTGCGATTAATGTGGTAGGTCGAGGCATATTCGGTGGATTATTTTCCAGAGCTGGAATTTGGCCAACTGGAGCAGCACTGGAGAGCGTAATTCCTATCAAAATGTGTAATTGGTTAGAAATCAATGAAGAGCTATAACAAAATTATCAGAAGCAATTTCAAAAAGGTAATGTGTCATTTTCGAGAACTTTCCACATGACTGAACATTATCGTCAGACATGGGCTGTAATTATAATAGCTGTCGCTGACATCTCGTCGAATAATTTCATAGTTCTTCAATTATCTCAAAACTATTGAAGACTTTCATCTTCTTTATTGCCTTTTTCATAAATATTTGAAAGTTATTCACAAAGTTTATCAGCTATAAATTGAATTCACATGGAATTAATGTCTGGACTGTATTGGTTCATTAGATTTTAATTCACAATCTTCGAAAAATTTGTCAATTGCGTCAATGATAAAGGATCATGTATAATGTCTAACATTCTACAGGGTAGTGTACAACATTTAGCAATTTTTAACTTTATTGCCTTGAACCTGAATAATTCATGAAATAATATTCGCATGAATTTGAATAATTAATTAATTAATGAATTTGATAATGAATTGATGATACGATATTTTTTTCTGCACAAAAAGCAATTTTTTGAATGTTCAAGGAGAAAATACATTAAAGCTCCGGTGGATTATCTAGAAAAGATAATTTACTCCGAAATTCGGATTCCTAATTACTTTGGCAATTAATCATTTTTTTCAATAATTGTTAGCTAGTGTTCTAGCGGTTATCAACAACTAGATCGCTAGCTAACAATTATCGAAAAAAACGATTAATTGACGGAGTAATTAAAAGTCCTAATTTTGGAGTAAATTATTTTTTCCAGACAGTCTATCCGGGCCTTAAATCCTTTTTTCTGTACCCATCACATTTTTTCAAGGTAAACAAATATTTTATCTAGGTGTGATCTTGGGTGGTGATTATCTACTATCTGATATCTTTTATAGCTTATCTATAAGGCAGACCCTAGGGAAAAATACCAGTTAAGCATATGTATTTGGGGCCGATTTATCAAGCCCTGCGAAAGGACTATTAAATTTTCATCAGGAAGTTCGTTTTAATGACCTTGATTATTACATTCATATACTCTTACTTCCAACAGCAGTCTGGCAAGTAACACAAAAATCTGGAAGTCCATTTTATTTACATTAACATTTCCTGCACAGTACTAGGGAATAATTAAAACATTATTCCATTGGGGAACTGGAATTGCAGTCGTTGTTTCGTTACAAAGATATTACATGAAATTATCATTTGGTAAGATGTAAAATTTTCGGCAGTAGTGCCACTAGTATTTCAAAATTATCGGATATTTTTACATCTGCGCTTAGAGTTCATGTTACTTGAGACAATAGTTCATGTTACTTGAGACAATAGTACGTACCATTGTGCGCAAAGAGAATGTACTTTATTTTTCAAGTACTGCAGAAAAAACTTCCAGCACATGTGCTGTAAAAATTCAGATGAATTTTTTAGTGTAGACTTATAAAATATTAAAAAATTGATTATAAGGCAACAATTTTTTTCCATATATTTGTTAATCTATTCCAATGAACCATAAACATGAAACGAATTATTATCTAATACCAATTCATCCTAGAATTCATCACTTTTTTAACTACAAAGTTCTTCTAGTGAGTTCTAAATTTGTTAATAGGGTGACTAATCTACCGATCGAAGGGAGCAGCCGGAAAACGTCCCTTAACAGGCATGAATGACAGAAAAAAAGTCTTGGGCTGTGTCGATGTGATATAGACGGATAACAAGTTACACCCGCTTTGTGAATACAAAGAACCATGACGTGAAATTGCCCGAACGAGCCTTGAGTCGTCAAGATTCTGTCGGCGCTTAGACTAGATCTGGGTCAGATTTTTAACAACATCGATCTGGTGGAACATCTTGAGGGATAGGCGAAAATTACACATGCCCAACTCGATCGAATTCTTAAAAAATCGAGTGAACCACAAAAGGTAATGAAAATCCACGACGATCAATCGCGTAAATCCTCGATGGACGTTTTTCCTCGCAGTGTATCATCTCTAAACTTATGAAAGCAATAGAAAACTTTCAATCAAACCGTTTTTTTTAAATTATAATTTACGTTGTTTGCGATGATGCAACTATGTAAGTAACCTCCCACACATTCTGAACAGGACGTTATTTATGGTCAAAAGAAAAACCGCTGCTTCAGCTGAATTTAACTCGTATGTTAGCCAGCAGTAGTAATGGACCGAGTATAGTCAGCCACCTAACTTATCCCGCACATGGTATATAGACGGTATAGCTCTTTCAATAAAACTTTGTAGAAACAAGTTAACATTGTGTTGCGATGTACAACAAAAAGAGAAATAGACGTGAAAAAGTGCTCACCCAGAACAAGAAGCATCACATCAGAAACTGCCAAACTGAACAGGTAGTAATTCGTAGCTGTTTGCATAATTGGATTACGAAGTATCACCCAACATGTTACCACATTACCGAATATCCCCATAACAAAAATAAACACATAAACAATTGTTATTGGAATTACTAATTGCGGGGGTAAATGCTTCGGTCCCAGCTGGAGTTGCAAGTACTCTTCTTCACTCCAATTGTAGATATGAGATAAATTCATCACCAATGTTCTAGGTGGATCAATTATTTTCGCTGTTACGTTGTTCATATCAAACGAATCCATGTCGTGCATTTTTACACTTCACCAGACACTTAATTAAGCCATAACAATTAAGTTCAGTCACATGGAGGTGTCAAAGGAATGACGCGACATTTGTTATTGTATTTCAAGTGACAACAATACTGTACAATATTTAATCGTCAACATCATTTTTTTTTCTCGCATTTTTTCTTTTCAGTTTTTAGTAGAGTTGTTCAATTTATGCAGTTGATTTCAGGTTTTAAATCTCAGGTTTTTAATGATCATAGGAAAATAATTTGAGACATTGTCTTGAGTGATTGTTTTATTATTATTTAGTTATAGAGTTTAGCACTAGGGTAATGAGGATTTGTAATGGGGTAAAATTGAGCAGTGCGCGGTTCGACGGACCGCCGACGAATGAGACGACGTCGGCGAATTCTCGATCTACCCTCCGCCCTCGCGTTTCATCTACTACGCATAACAACCCTCAACATTCTCCTCCTATTGCGTTATTAAATCACGTGGACCAATTGATTTTGAAATATTTCGTCGTTACACTTGTGACAAGCATATTGAATTACCAAATGTAATGAGAAATTTGAATTGGCATCTGCATGTAATGTATCGGAAAATTTCCCCAGATAAAATAATCCAGAGTTCAGCCATCATTCTGATGTGCATGTTTCTCGTCCGCTATTCATGTTCGGATTTTCGTACGACGAATCTAACTCAGTGTCATACAAACTGAGACCACAGTATTTTAACTGAATATGATGTCATGAATCTCGTTTCCCTTATGTGCTGTTCTGTAATATTTTGCGAGTATATCTGGAGGCTGTATGTATCAATCTGCACACAGGGTAGAGTAGTAAAACTTTTTGACGGTTGCATTGAATTTAGGATCATAAAGGATAATAAACGTCGTAATTAAAGCTACAGGAATAATTTGGCGCGGGATGTGAAAGTGCAGTAGAGTGTCTGCAGTTAAATATTTGAATTTTTGGGGATTCCCCCTTGCGACTTTTCCCCTACACTGAGAGAAATATTCAATAAAAATTACGTGTATTTTCCGTAATTCTGGAGCGAAATGTGGTTGTCGGAAAATTTACGGAACTGTCACGTAATTTTTATCTAAAGTCACGGAATTTTTCCGCGGTGTTCCGTAATTTTTATCTGAATTATCGGTGAAAAATAACGATACCGTCACTTAAATTTTTCGAATCAACTCCGTAATCGGTAAGTGAACTGAAAGTTCCGTAATTTTTACTAAATATTTCTCTCCGTGTATTAAAATGTTTACTCACTTTTTTTAATTAATACGTTAGATAATTTTCTCATGCTCTAGCTGTTGATTTCCGTAGCAGCTGACGTACTGTAAATCTGTAATGGCTCATCACAGTAATGCACCCTTAGAATATATTCTTGGATGATGAACGATATTCAAAATATATAGTAATATGGCTGCATCAAGAGTACCGTATCTCAGAGTTTACCATGACAAGGTTAATGAATACTTCGCGAGAGAGTGTGGCTGCGAACGTGCGCATATCTCAGTTGAGTCACGCAATAATCTCGCAAACAACTAATAGCCTTTGCTCCTAAGTAATCCAGAAGCTGTCTTAATTGCTGTGACATTTAATTAGAGACAAATGATGTTCGTCGCTAATGACATTGATTCGATTCTCTTGGTATACTAAAGTCACCATAAGTTTTTACTTCTCTGGGTACCCCCACTCCACGTAGTTACCACTTGTAACCATGTCCCCCACTCCTAAAATCAATGTTAAAACTTATGCTGACTTCAGTATATCATATGCACCTAGGGTGCTTGCATGACAGCGTTCGCACCACCATCTTCAATCCAAAAATACGCCAGATATACGTGTCATATGTTTAAGCTATCAAAATTTCCGGGAAATTTTAAATCAAGATATTTACATTTCGTTCCCATTTTGTCATTTTGTAAATGGATTCCATGATAAATCTCTGGCTTAATCGAATTTATTTTATTAAGGGGCATTACTTTGGCGAGGAAAAAATGGACAATTTGTTGCCGTTTACATAGAAAGAAAAATACTGGAAAAATTACGGAAATTTCATGTATTCGTGGCGTGACCTTGGTTTTCAGGGGAAAATACTGTAGGTTCTGTCAACAGTTTCGTAGCGGGCAGGAATTTTTACGAAACTTGAAGGACAATTTTACGGTACTTTCTCCCGAAAAGCAAGGTCACCCCAAGAATAGGTGAAAGTTCCGTAATTTTTCGGGTATTTTTCTGTCCATGTAGAGTTCATCGAATAGAAAAAGGAGAAGGGGAATCGATATCGAAAAATCTCGAAATATTTCGATTGATCATGAGACCCATAAGACCCAAAATTTTGAAAATTCAGAAAATCGCGAAAATTTGGAAATCATTCCGGAAACCAAGGGAGATTGCAAATTATTGGAGAAATTTTGTCTAGGTAGGGGGCGGGAAAATGTTGGAAATTCAAAAAATCGTGGACAACCGCTTGCAACATTTTCCAGTACGATATAGGAATGGAATAATTAAAATGTGTCTCGGTACGGTCTACCGAATAGTTGTAGAATGAGAATGAGTAGTCGAAAATTTTTGCGACGATTGATTATCGTGTATTGCGAACAGGATAATCAATCGTCGCTGAAATTTCTTGCTATTCATTCTTAAGCTCAAGAATTTTTGGTGACGATGGATTATCCTGTTCGGCGGGCAGGATAATCCATCGTCGCCAAAATTTATTCCTATTCATTCCTAATCCTACAACTATTCAGTAAACCACGTCTAGTGAAAAATGAAAAACTCGATGTTATTCACAAAAATTATTGCATTTCCATCGCGGTGAAAAATGTCGCAAATTGACAAAGAAAATTCTTCTCATGATTTCTCTCCCTCGCATTGCAATCAATCCCTCGTAGCCAATCAGAGAGCGATATTTGGGGCTGTAAAAAAAAGTCCTCGCATATTTCTTTAAAATTTCCGATGGATATTCACTAGTAGTTTTTCAAATATTCTTGATCATTCAACGGATTTCAGCTTTTATTTCCCTTTTTGGAGACTCTGTGTGACAAATGAAGAAAAATGTCGGTTATTTCCGAACATGACTACACAATGAGTTACTCCAGATGATTTTTTTTGGCAAATATTTATGAATAAATGGATGGTAATGTAGGATGGGAATAGCGAAGTAATCAACGTGAAAACACTTCTTGAATTTATCGTTGTGTGTTAATGTATAAAGATCCTGTGCACTCCACTCTGCTCGGCCGAAATCCGAGTAGAAAAACAATCCGTCAAATATTCATCACTCATGCTCCAAAATGGAGGTAAAAAGGTATCTATAAAGTCTGTGTATCGTTTTAATAAATTCATTCAATTTCATTAAAATTTGTGATTTTGAACTTTCTTAAAGCTCAGTATTTTCTATCCATCGCGTCATCCATCCGTTCCATTTCAATCTTCTAAAGGTGGAGTCAATAATGTTAGATATTGTTTGTGCTCAACTCCGATACTTCCACATTTATTGAAGTATTCTCTTTCTATTCATCTGTTGCTTTCGAGTGGAAACATTATAACAGCTCTATTCTTCAATTTTTATCGTTCGTAGAAATTACGTACTATCCCGCACATTTCCATTATTCGATTTTGCGCGGAACAATAAGTCCGCTGTGAAAGAAGGTTTTTCAATAAAATATTTCCCCTTAATTAGTGATGAAAAATGCCTTATGAATTAATTGATACAGAAACTCAATAAGAAATTCATAATTTTTCAGGAATCAGAGGTAGAAACTTTGAAGAAAATCAAAGCGGTCAAGCAAGATTGATTTAGGTCTTGGAAAAGACAATTAGTACGATGCGATCTATAAAAATCAGTATTACAAAACTTTTACGTAATTTTTTGTGATTTTTTTCAGTCCTCGTAGAATCTTATCCAAAAAAAATATTAGTACTACATTCAGAATTCAACGCTCCATCAGCCAAACGTCCACTTCTCGCCAGTCATCATATCTAAAGAGTATTTTATTGAACTATTTATATAAAGCTGGTTTCACGTACACAATATGTCGACTTTATTCATTTTTATTCTCATAATTTTCATTCTTTTTGATCATTTTAATGTTATTTATTGTTTGTCATTTTGTTTTGTTTATTTTAGTTTTACGTTATCCGTTATTCGTTATTTTTGGTCGTACGGTTTATTTTAATACACAGAGAGAAAAATCAAATGAAAATTGCGAGAGGAAGGACGTAAAAATAAAAAAACTAAAAGTTCAATAAATCCCTTCCTTCGGATTTTTATTTCTTTCTTTCTTCTTCGGATGGAGGAGGCGTGTCTAAAAAAGAGAAAAACTTCTCAAATTAATCAGCAATAATATTTTCATCTCAACCCATATTATTGCGAGTAGAAATTCCTGTATAATAAAAAATTGATATCACACTTACAGCGATGAATGCATCAAGTAACTAATTATATTATAGAAACGTTCAGAGACTAGAAATTGAATCAAAAGTTTGAATGTTGATCTACCCATACCCAACAGAATTAATATTAATATATTCAGCCCAGGACTGACAATGGCAGAATATCAGGTCCATTGACGTTCTCATATAAAGTTGAGGAAATTGACTTTCAAATTAGTCCTTCCTTTTTTCCGTTTGAATTGTAAACTATCCGGAGAAAATACATTTTTTTATTCACCTAGTTCTCCATCTATGGCTGAAGTCAAAGTGATTCTTTGGCCGTATGACAGTTAGTCCTTTTATAAAATATAGTTTCGACAAAAAACTCCAGGAAAATCTGGAATTTCTAGTAAAGTCCAGTGAAGATCTTTATCACTGCGAGATTATTTATTGTCAATATCCCAACGAATAATTGTTGTTCTCACATAATTTAAATTTGATCTTTATTATTCTACGTGTCAAGGGTTGGACAAAAGGTTTGAATTAGGCTCGTCATATCGAATCGAATTTTCTTCACCAAATTTATCCATCAATTCTAATAGAAAAAATCTATTTCCATAATTTCCGTATCATTGTGGGCCTGATTAATATTCTCCAATCATTCCTCTTATAAAATTATCTACTCTAGTTACTTTTGAATAATTTCAATAATAAAGCGTAGATAAAATACACGAAAAATAGTCTATAATGTACGAGAGTTGTTGGTCATGTTTTCCTTTATCTAGTAATTGAAAGATCAACTCTATTCTCGGAGCCATCTTCAACAGATAGCACGACTTCAATGTCTTCGGAATTTTCACGGTTTCTAACCACCAACTCTTGATCTTGATTACTATCTATTGAGGAATCGGGGTTAATCACAGATATAACTCGTTCAATTCCATCAGTGTTATCATCGATGACGGGTTTACTTATCGGTAAGTGGCTAGGTACTCCTTCAATGTTCACCAGTGTCGATGATGGTGTGAACAGATTTGCAGAATTTATCGATGCTCTTACCCACTCATTTCGTTTTGAAGTAATTTCTTGAATAAAACTTTCATCGTTTCGCTCACTGCATTCTGGATACAGCACTCTCATTGCAGCTGCATTTTCTTCGATATTTCTCAAATGCTGTTTCACGTCCTCCGGATTTACCGATGACATCAAATCCGTGGCATCTACTCAGAAAAAGTCTCAGGGCTTTGAAACTTTTTTAATTAACGCATCGTATTTACAATCAATGATCGCTGAAACTAAGTGAGTCTTTTCTACACAAATAGAGAACATTTCCTCAATTGTATTCTCCATTAAAGAGTGGACTATGAGTTCTGGAATATTTATGCACGGAGAGAAATATTCATTATTTAAAAATTACTGAACTTTCAGTTTGCTTACCGTTAATGGAATCCACTCGAAAAATTTGAGTGACGGTATCGTAATTTTTCACAGAGAATTCACGTAAAAATTACGGAAATTTCCTACAACCACATTTACACATTTAGCTCCGGAATTACGGAAAAGACAGGTAATTTTACCGGAATATTTCCCTCCGTATGAATACCTGAATGAAAATTCGTCAACAGATTCAGTCAAATAATGACATAATATTTTCAATATTACATAATATTTTCAATATTACATCATATTTTCAATATGATGAATATGCGGATTAATCTTTCATTGCTAGTTACTCTAATTTACCTTGATTCGGTGAAGTTTCGTTGAAAATAATTCGGAGTACAGCTTTTCCACTCTCCGTTATATTCGGGAATGTTGAATTTTCACGGGGTGAATTAGACGTACGAGCTGTCACTGGAGGATGTATTGCATTGAGTAAATGAACTTCAAAGATTTCGTACAATGATTGATTAATGATTCTACGATGTGTGCAATACGTCAGAGGTTGAAAGGGAAAAATATTCATGAGTATAAAACCCATCAAGAGTACCGGAGCCAATATCTGTCAGAATAAAAAATTGCCGTAATTTAAAATGCATACGCTCAGAGTCACATTGGATCACTGAAAAAATTCTTGTAAATTTATTCACTAAATGGAAATAGCATTTACCCTCGTAAACAGCCCGAACCCACTTATTTGTGAAATTATTCCGGTTAGTATTAGCAGGAATAATTCCAAGAATAATCGAATGAAGTACCCGATTAAATTGCCGATGCACTGGAGACAATTAAGAAGTGTCACGCTTTCCGTTGTAATTTTTTGAGATGTTGAATTGATTGCCTGAGACATTATCGGAATACGGGGACTCATGTGGGTTTTCACTTTAAGGTTACATAACTTGCCAATTTTTAAACAAAAAGAAACAAAAACTTCTGCACTTCAATCAGTTTTCTGGGATGACATTTTTGTGGTTCTTTTCAGTTATAATTATCATGTTCATTACGGTATTAATTCATCAACACTGATGAACACATTCTCCTGGATTTACTGCATCGACTAATAGATTCAATTTTGTAACATAAGGTTAAGGCCCGGATGGACTGTCTGGAAAAGATAATTTACTCCAAAATTGGGACTTCTAATTACTCCGTCAATTAATCGTTTTTTCCGGTAATTGTTAGCTAGCGGCCTAGTTGTTGACAACCGCTAGAACGCTAGCTAACAATTATTTAAAAAAATGATTAATTGCCAAAGTAATTAGGAATCCGAATTTCGGAGTAAATGTTCTTTTCTAGATAATCCACCCGAGCCTTAAGGCCCGGATGGACGGTCTGGAAAAGATAATTTACTCCGAAATTGGGACTTCTAATTACTCCGTCAATTAATCGTTTTTTCCGGTAATTGTTAGCTAGCGGCCTAGTTGTTGACAACCGCTAGAACGCTAGCTAACAATTATTGAAAAAAACGATTAATTGTCAAAGTAATTAGGAATCCGAATTTCGGAGTAAATGATCTTTTCTAGATAATCCTCCCGAGCCTTAAGGCCCAGATGGACTGCCTGGAAAAGATAATTTACTCCGAAATTGGGACTTCTCATTACTCCGTCAATTAATCGTTTTTTCCGGTAATTGTTAGCTAGCGGCCTAGTTATTGACAACCGTTAGAACGCTAGCTAACAATTATTGAAAAAAACGATTAATTGCCAAAGTAATTAGGAATCCGAATTTCGGAGTAAATGATCTTTTCTAGATAATCCACCCGAGCCTTAACGATATTTTCTGAGGACACATAACTAGTGCCTTTTTTATCGGAATGGTTCTAACTCACATGATGAATCACAGAAAAATAATTTATTTCATCAGATTACAGGAAAATATTCTTCAAACCGGAGTAATTATGCATTTTTGTTTTGTCTTTATATTGATTTTCTAATTGTGAAAGTGAAATTCATTTCTTCTTTTCACATTTCCCATTTCCCAAAAAAAATATGAGTGTTGAAATCTCTATTATCAGTCTATGAAACATAAACTATTTGAATAACACATCGGTACATTACAGATTTAGTATTACAGACAACAAATTCATATTATTTATGGTAATTTTCCCTCCATGCACAGCGACGCTGAAACTCCATTGAGTAATAACCAAAAAAATCGTTAATCTCTGCATGTGTTCAGAAGAATGTTTAATGGTGTATACCATTCATTCATACATAACGTGGCTACTGATAAAATAACGAATGAAGAACAGCCGGTGACTATACATGCTGTGACGTCGAATGATGTAATTCCATTGGCTGACGTTGGAAAAATAATTATGTAAAAAGGTAATAGTGAATCCGCATGTAATTACAGAATTGAGTGTTGATCAATCAGATGAAAATCACAGGAAACTGCTGGCAGTGGAAATAGATCCTCTACTCTTATCACCAGAAGTCGTGCTCTCGAAACTTGTTTTCTCCCTAACGAGTGGATGTTCGTCCTCAAGTAGTGGTTTGTTGATGATATTTCGGTTGGGATCCCTTGCCCCATGCAAATCCGGCAATCTAGTGTCCTTTTCACATTCGTGGTGATTCGTACTTAATTTGAATATATCTTTGGCTTGGTCAATAGTGTATCTAACGGAGCAGCGTATCGTCGGCACATGTGGTACCCTTTGTGAGTCACATCTGCAGAAATTCAGTTCCTGGGGACGTCTACCATTGGATCGGGATTTACCACAGCAAACCGTTCGCTTAAATGCTTCTCGGTACCTCAAGCTCATGAGATTATATAGAATTGGATTGATTGTTGTGCTGAAGTAATACAAGAAACCACTGAATATGTACAGCCATTCGTTGAGATCGGGGTAGTAGTCAGCTTCTTGAGCGTAAACGTAGAGTAATCGTTGGGCATGGAAAGGTGCCCAGCAGAGGAAGAACATGATTACTACCGCACCTGTCAACATTACGAAGACAAAGAAAATACACACTGTTCATTATTTTTTCATGAATTTTTCATGCCATCAGTTGACGAAATTTTGCAATTCTTAGGACGAATTATTCGCTTTATTTGCTTTTTTTAGAGTAATAATTGATCGAGAACTATATAGTATATACGGATATAGTACTCAAGCTTAGTGTCTTCACGTTTAAACAATTCTACAGAATTCCCAAGACAAATTAGAAAAATAAAAAATCGACCCGTTGCGAAGTTTCCGTTGGAAAGGAATAATCGAAGGAATTTTACTTCCACTCCACCGAAACCCATCAAACACTGCATTCCTAGAGATCGCAAGTCAGATGGAAACAATAATATTTCGTGATATTCTCTCGTATGTAGTCAGTCTACAGAATAATGAATTAAACATTTTTATGTGATTCATTGGAACTTGATATGTTCGACTATTACTTTAATATTGCCAGTACTTTCATCGGGGATTTCCAATAGAAAATATACCATGTTTTTGTTAAACATATCTGAATCATGAGAGACACCTACTTAACATTCTGATAATACTTCTTCTGGACTGGACTTGACGTGAATCCCAGTGTGCGGACGATTCGCCTGTTCTTGTTACTGAATTCCGTGTGCTTTTTCTTATCTTTAATCCCATTCTGGTGTACACAGCAAGGATGATGAGCATTGGGATGAGAAAAAATACCACACAACTCAGTTCATACAAAGGAAAATGGGGCATATCCGGAAGGAGCATCGCGCAAATTGCAGAACTTGCGGAGTTGATCCCAGAATCTAGATTTTTAATTATAAAAGAGAAAATGATTCATTAAAAGAAAAGGTGGAATGATTTATTATTGGGAAACGCTTTCGCATACCTGGAGGATATTCAACGTAGTTGACTTTTGTGTAAATGGCGAACGGTACGGCTGCAATTATAGCTATCAACCATGCAGCGATAATTATCATAATTGGTCTTCTTGGGCCACTCATGGCGTATGCTCGCAAGGGATGACATATCGCTAAATAACGTTCCATCGAGAATGCCACTATCGTGAGCACAGAGACGTAAGAAGACCTGGTTTATGAAAATAAACAGAGAGTGTTATAATTATCTGCTGTTATTCGTGGATTTAATTTATCGGACTGCGCTGAGAAAAAAAAAATGTGCGATCATTCAAACAAAATAATTTCTTTGTCAATGTTTTTTTTACATTTCGGATACGTAAGCCCGGATTTTGCAAAGGCCAAGACCAAGCGCCCAAGGATATTGTTGCCAAATGCCGCTGAGCTCGTTGGGTAATCCTAAAACAATTAATTCATGAAATTAGTCGTAGTAGGTTTGATGTTAAAGTTTTATTCCCTGGATATTCAAAGGGGTTATTCATTTTATTCATGTCGATAATAGCATTTTTTGAATTAATTCTCCAACCGTACAGAATTCTGATCTTTTGAAGAGAAACTGGACAATTAAAAGTTTTTAATTACTTTTCTCCCCACCGCAATCAATTTTTGTTTTTTTTTTTCAACTTTGGTTCAATGTTGTTAACATCCAAACTCGTTTCATTTTATGTAGCGATGGAAATATTTTTGGAATGAAGGATTCTAGATGTAAACCAAAACGTTTAACAAAAAATTACTCTACACAACAGTGATATATGATTTAAGCTCAGCATTTTGATAAGTTACGTTAGATTGTACGAAGTAATTGAAAGTTTCGTATAGAAAAATATGTTTAAGAGACTTTAAATAATTTTCTAGAAGCACGATTGGCCCTTTCGGATTTGATAATGAGAGGCTTGGACACAGAAAAGAGTAAACGTAAATTACGCTGAAGAAACAATATATCAGGCGCTGCCGAAAAGATATTTTTTTATACGTTAATTAAATCGATTAAAATTTCACATCGTTAATTAAATCAGAAAATAATTTTATACGTGATTCGTTGTAAGATGCAAGTGGCTATTGCTATTGCTATTGCCCGAGGGCCTTCAGCCAATGAGTTACATGAGTTTGTTTGTAATATAAAATTTTTGTACTTGATACACATACGTATAAATGAGTATTTTTCTTATGATTTTAATCGATGAGTTTTTACATATTATTTCGTCTGATGGAAATGAGATATAAGTAATGGTGATCTGATGAGTTAGAGGTGCTGATGTGTATTGGTTACTCTTGTTACTTAAGGCCCGGATGGACTGTCTGGAAAAGATAATTTACTCCAAAATTGGGACTTCTAATTACTCCGTTAATTAATCGTTTTTTCCGATAATTGTTAGCTAGCGGCCTAGTTGTTGACAACCGCTAGAACGCTAGCTAACAATTATTG